CGGTTATATAGGGTGGAGTACCCAAGGATCGGGCGGTTATCCTCAAAACTCGGTTATATAGGGTGGAGTACCCAAGGATCGGGCGGTTATCCTCAAAACTCGGTTATATAGGGTGGAGTACCCAAGGATCGGGCGGTTATCCTCAAAACTCGGTTATATAGGGTGGAGTACCCAAGGATCGGGCGGTTATCCTCAAAACTCAATTATAGGGTGGAGTACCCAAGGATCGGGCGTGTATCCTCAAAACTCATAGATTTCAGTTAATGATCTAGGACCGGGCGGTGTCCTTATGATAATTTATTTGAACAAGGAGGAGTTCTATACACTCATAGGTATATGGGTGGGTTGGGATTTAAGTCAAGGATATTGGCAACTATTATTTTCCCAAATAAACAATGACCTACGGGTCGGGTATTTCCAAGTGTATGTATACTAATATGTATTTCAAACTTGGGGGAAGGATTATACGTATATGTATCACCCTATGTTTGGGTCCTATACTTGAAACGTTAGTTATTCTATATTTAGCCTGCTACTCGCTCGGTACTTGTACTGACCCCTTCGGGGGGCCCCACCATTTTCAGGTTGAAGCTAGGGCTTGCTACCTGCACCTTTCTACGGGTGACATCAATCAAGGAAGACGTGGTTCGTGCTTCCTCATTTTATTTCAAATTACCAAACATTGCTCATGGATATTTTTATTTGTCATAAACTATTCTTTTGGGGCTTGCATGCCCATGTTATTGGCCGATTGTGGCTTATGACTTACCGTTGAATATTTCCGCTATTCATTGGTTTAAATGTGATGTTGTTATGTATGTTTACTACTGAGTATGGATGGATTATTTTCTCGAACGCCTTGTGTAATCAAGTGAGGTTGACTCGCGGGTGACGTCACTTGATTATGCGGCGGTTGTACACGCGCTTGGATTGCGGTCTGGGGCGTGACACGCATGCGGCTAGGGACAGTGTCTTTGGACAGAGATGGTTGGAGACTAGGACGATGACCTCCCATTCAGGATTCATTTTAGATTCCTTCAGATTCTTCCCCTTCTTCGCCATTTTTGTGTGCGGCATAATAATAATGAGGAAATCAATTAATAAGTTGAACTTATAGGACATTCTAGGCGGTTTTTAAAGAGGCTCGAGTCTGGGAACGTTGAAGATGATGGCACGTGTGTGGGAACAGCTAGGTGGAGGAATTCGAATGGCGATCACTGCCACGTCGGAAGACTTGATTTCTTTAGAGACACGTTGCTTGCATATTAAGGATGTGGCCTGTCCTTTTTTAGAATTAGGGTGCACGCGCGGATGACAGTCGCGTGCTCGGGTGGGCACACGGGTTGGCCTTGGGCAGTTGGGCTCCGGAAATGGGGAAGACCTGTTGTTAATATTGGGTAAAAGAGTTGTACGAGATAGGGGTGGGCGCGGTCCGGAATGGTGCGGTAAATTAGTAAAACTCATAATGTATCCGTGAGGTTTTTAACCGTCCGATACGGTCCGATTTCAAGGATAGAACCGTTCGGTACCATGTCGTTTCGGAACGGTACAAAACGGTACGGTACAATGCCAAACACATGCTAGAAAATTTGAACAAATATTGTGATTAGTAGATATCATCACACCAACCAACTCACATGAAATGTTGATATAAATACAAGAAATTGCACATACAGGACTGAAATTCACAAATAAACAAAATAGTGCAACAAACTAAGAAAGAGTATAGCAAAACGGTAACGCACGAGATAAATAACATCCTTGATTTACTTAGTTCATGTGAAAATATAAAAAAGAATATAATCAAATTGTTGAATATAATAGAAATCCTTAACATTCTTCTTCTTCATTCTAGGTTAAATATTACTCCGTAGTTCTAATTTAATTTATAGTTGAACCTTGAGAGCTAAGATTTAAATCATACGTAGTATTAGTTACAACAACAACAACATTCAAGCCTTAGTCCCAAAAGATATTAGTTAAGTTGTAAAATTGTACAAACATGATACAACAAAAAGTCATGTGCACTAACATTACTAGAAATGAAGTCATTAATGATTTCTCTAAAATTTTAATATTCTTTCAATGCATACCAAAATATAACATAAATTATCTGAAAAGAAAAAATAACAATATATATACACACACACATATAATATAGACAAAAACACACATTTAGCTATTTTAAGGACGCATAAATACATACTTGGGCTATAAAATTGTTGTTATATAAAAAAGATCTATTGAATTGGTATCGAAAAAATATCAAAAATTCAAGTTCATTATTTACAAACGGTTCGGTCTGGTATTTTTCGGTTCTCAAAATATAGGACCAGTCCCGTACCCGTTTCAAATGGTACGGTTTCGGTACGGGGTAAAAATATATAGAACCGCTTAAATACCCGGTATTCAGTTCGGTACCATTATGGGGCGGTTCGGTACCGGTTCGGTTCGAGTTTTATGCCCACCCCTAGTACGAGATATACACAAAATGTGTACATTCTTTTGTACACTCGTCTATCACTCTATCCCCGTAGATAAGTTGTATGTGGAGGACAGATTAGTGTACAAAAAAGTGTACACATTTTGTGCACACCACGGATTTTTCTAGGGTAAAAAGTAAAAACACATTCTATACCTCAAAAATCAATAGAACAATAGATCGGGAAATTCAGGATTAGAATATTAGATATCTATAAAATTGGATTTTTAATCTGCGTAAAAAAATTATTATCTATGAAATTGTAATTTTTTAATTTAGGACTCTACTAGTTGAAAACTATTGATTAAAGACCACGATTAAGATCTTGATTTTTTAAATTATTTATTTATTGATGACTATCCAGCAAAAATGTATTAATTATTTATTGATGACCAACATTATATTTATTTATATTTTTATTTATTTCTTATTTACTTATTTATATATTTATTTATTTATTTATTTATTTATTTATTTATTTATTTATTTATTTATTTATTTATTTATTTATTTATTTATTTATTTATTTATTTATTTATTTATTTATTTATTTATTTATTTATTTATTTATTTATTTATCTATTAGTGGAAAATGTATTAATTATTTTTTTGATGGAAATTAACTTTGATAATTTCCATCTTTCACACTCGTGTTTGATAATTAGAAGTTGTTATGTTCGTCTTAAGCTTATTACTTATTGCTTATTCTTATTTTATTCAGAACAGATCAGATCAGATCAGAATCATTCAGATCAGATCAGAATAATTCAGATCAGATCAGAAACATTCAGAACAGATCAAGAACATTCAGATCAGATCAGGAACATTCAGATTAGATCAGGAACATTCAGATCAGACCAGAAAAGTTCAGACATGATTTATCCCTTTTATTATTATAATTATTATTATTATTATTATTATTATTATTATTATTATTATTATTATTATTATTATTATTATTATTATTATTATTATTATTATTATTATTATTATTATTATTATTATTATTATTATTATTATTATTATTATTATTATTATTATTATTATTATTATTATTATTATTATTATTATTATTATTATTATTATTATTATTATTATTATTATTATTATTATTATTATTATTATTATTATTATTATTATTATTATTATTATTATTCTTGTTGTTATTGTAATTATTATTATAATTACTATTATTATTGATATTATTATTATTATTATTATTATCATCATTATTACTATGATTAATATGATTATTATTAGGGAAAACAGTCAAATAGGTCCTCGAACTTTCATAAAAAGGTCAATTAAGTCCTTCTATAGGAGGTTCTGTCCGGCCGTCGCGATTTGTGGCAGTTCCCGGTGGAATTTTTTTCTGACATTTTTTTAGCATCTTGTTCATCAAGTCTAGTTTACTCATACCAAATTTCAGCTAAAAATTCAATCGGGAGCGCATTCAAATTAATTCGAGAACGCAAAAATGCGCAGTTATCTTCAAGAATTAATATGAATGTGTGCCCGATTGAATTTTTAGCTGAAATTTGGTATGAGTAAACTAGACTTGCTGAATAAGATGCTCTAAAAATTTCATCAAAAAATTCCACCGGAAACCACCCCAAATCGCGACGACCGGACAGAGTCTCCTATAAAAGGACTTAATTGATTTTTTAATGAAAGTTCGAGGACTTATTTGACAGTTTTCCCTTATTATTATTATGATTATTATTATAATATTTATTATTATTATGATTATTATTATTCTTATTACTATTATGGTTGTTGTTGTTATTAGTTTTTTTATTATTGTTATATTACAAGGAGTAATTACAATTAAAATTATAGAAATAAATATTATAATTATAAATAAAATTATAATTATAGAAATAATTATAACTAAAAATATAATTAAAATTATAATTATAGTTTTTTTTTGTTTACTCCAGGAGCCGTCTAGGGGGGGGGGGGGGGGGGGGGGGGTCCTGAAGTAAACTAGGTTAAAACTCACCCCATTGAGTTTCGAACCCGAGACCTCCCATAAGGGAGAGTAAATGGGCGACCAGCTGATCTGGACCGCTTCCTCTAATTATAGCTATATTTATAACTAGTGTAATACGTATAATAATTATACCTATTATAATTATGATTATAATTATAATTATAATTTTTTTATAATTATGATTATAATTATAATTATATTTAAATTATATATGTGTAATTACATTTCTAATTATAATAATTAAAATTAAAATTATATTTATAATTTTAGAAATATTCAAATCAGATTAGATCAGAAGGATTCAGATCAGATCAGAAGAATTCAGATCAGATCAGGAACATTCAGATCAAATCAGGAACATTCAGATCAGATCAGGAACATTCAGATCAGATTAGTAACATTCAGATCAGATCATATCAGAAAAATTCAGATCAGATCAGATCAGATTAGAACTTAAAAAATTCAGATCAGAAACATTCAGATCAGGTGAAGAGAACAACTTCTTAGTCTATTTAAGGTTCTAGAAGGAAACATATATTTTTGCGCATGGATGAAATAATCTCATCCAATCTCAAAGTCCACGTCCAATTTCTCAACATGTTTAGTGTGGCTGTTTTTGTGTACGCATTTGTCTCTCTACGCAAATACAATTGTATGTATACACCAAACAACTGTACCTGCATAGAAAGACAAGTGTGTTAAAGTTGTACACAAAAAACATGTACACCAAACATTTTTCATTTGTTATCCAAATAAATGAAATAAATGAAATTTCAGTGAAAAAAAATTGAGCCGCTCTGACACTTGTCATTTGTCAACGGTTCTGGACTTCTGGTTAGAGGCGCATTTTGTTTTACTCATTTGTTGTGACGCAAAACAAAAAACGTTCCCAGCCTCATCAGGCGTCAGATACGGTGTTCTAACTAGAGATGGACCAATCCCGAGTCGGGACCGGGTCAGAGTCAGGCTTAGGGCAGGACCGGGTTAGGGACATGGAGGCCGGGGTAACGGCTGACTATGTTCCGAGACCGAGTCGGGTACTATATTTTTTTTTTGGTTTTTGCTTATTAACTCTAACCCCCCCCCCCCCCCCCCCCCCAAACCACCCAGCCCCAACCCGCCTCTTGCCCAAACCATCCAAAAAAAAACCAAAAAAAGGGGGGCCAGACGGTCCCAAAAAACACCCTCGGGTCAGGTCCTAGGCCCGAATTCATAGTTTCATCTGTTGAACTGCCTAATGTCCTCTACAATAGTTTCATCTGTTTTGTTGTCCGAATTCATCTCGGCATAAGAGGGCAACAATTGCGCTCCTTACCATTGGATATACAAAAAGCATACGAATAATGGAAAGTCTCTGGTTTAAAACATTTATCCATTTAGTTTATCTTTACATAACCACTGCGACTACACCTATCTCAAGTTGAAGTACCATTTAAAGAATACTTGAAAAACTAAGAGAAACAGCTTATAATTTACTCACCGGTAAACATCAGTATAACTCAGTGTATTTAACAGCTGGTCAGACTTACCGGCTGCTCTAAGGTCCATCCAGACATCCATATCCACTACAAACTTCTGGCCCAAAGTCCTTTCTTCAGCTTTCACTCCATGGAACCCATGGAATTTTAAACCCCTTAAGACCAGTTTGTCTCCTCCTTTTGGACTACCTACCCCTGCTCACCATAAGAATGTGTCATAAAAAAAGAGAATTGCACTCTGCATCCATTTTTTTCGGTTCAAATTTGAGTTGCACACTTGCACCATATTCAAAATCATTAATATTGCACTTTTAGTTTAAAAAAATGGTTTAAAATCCGGTGCAAACCCCAGTTAGAAAAAAAGAGGTGTAAACTTGAATTGTTAGAGTGCAGATATCAATGGTATTGAAAGAGAGTTCAAACTCAAGCACTCCCTAGAACCTAGGTTACTTTTGCATATTCATCCATACTCACAAGCATGTAATTGTGTTTCAAAGAGCTGCTAGTAATATAAATGTACACTAGAAAAATGTGTGTTCTTGTCAAACACATACCCTGTGTTTGGATGTATAGCATGTATAACACTATAACATATCCACAGATATTGTGTATGATATGGAGAAAATATTTATAATTGAAGAAATCGTGAAATTATCATCCTCCAAAGTAACAAGACTACAAGAGTTACTTAATGAACAGAGTTAAATAAAAAGCAATAACTAACTCGACCTAAACCATTCAAATTAATCAAATGATGAATCTATCATCCTCCAAAATATAAATGAGATTAATTAACTACTTTAATCGATCTTCTATTTTGTCATTGATTTATCAATCATTTTTTTCACATATCATCAACGAGTCCTAAAATGTATTGGAATTGTTAAACCCATTTTTATGGAACACCCTGATTTGACTAATTAAGAAAAACAGAGTGAAACAGCAACAAATTAAACTGAATGCCTAATTTGACATGAATACTGAAATGCAGATTAAAACAAAACCGATGATTTAGTCATTTACCGGAAACTAGAGGACGGCCGTCTATTGAAGAAGGGGGTAGTTGAACTGACGCCATGGGATTGCGATCGAAGGCGTCTCCAGTAGACGTCGAGACATCTTCCATGGTCGCTTCGTCGGAAAGCGGGGTCAACGACGGTTGATGTTCAGACCAATCACGTATGGAGTTTCTGGCTCTGCAACTGAGAACTTTGGGCAGTGAGGTCGACTCGAAGGTACTCCGTATTATTAGTCACACCAGCTCCTTATCTTTTTAGTTAGGAGAATTTACCCCAAATAGGACTAAAAAGGTTTGAAAATTCCAAAATGGGACTGTCATGTTTTTATTCCCGAAATAGGATTAATTATTGTCATGTTTTGGCAGTACCAGACTTCAAACATGGCAGTATTTTCCAAACTTGACAGTAATTACTCCTATTTTGGGAATAAAAAACATGACAGTCCTATTTTGGAATTTTCAAACTGTTTTAGTCCTATTTCGGGAACTTTCCCTTTTAGTTATTAGCTATGTGGCACCCATACGCGGAAACGCGAGAATGCGGAAATGAGTATGTGGATACAACAACAACAAAAGTAGGATACGGATACAGAACCATATTTATAAATATTAAAAGTTAATGTGGGTGTATTATTTATAAATATTAAAAGTTATAGGGATATATTTATAAATATTAAAAATACAATTGTTTTTGAAAAAAATTATTATCTCTGACGTCTAATACTCATTCAAGACATTGAAACATTTACATTTTCAAGATATTTAGAAATAAGTTCATATTTTATCTCATATAAACTAGTGCATTTCGAAATATATATATAGTCTATAAGTCACTAATTTAAAATGAGAAATAAGTCAAACAATTACATTTTTGAAATTAAAAATGCATGTACTTAAAGTTCTAGAAATAATGAAGATATAAAACAATATTTTAAAAGTTTTAATACATATTTCTGTATGAGTTATTAATTTCCAGGGATAATTAGAATTAGGGATAGAAGAATGAGTGGATTAGGAATAGGGCCTTAGTAGTGCATATCAGATATGTTCGTACAGATTAACCTGAAATTCATAAATATTTCTAATTTCACTCATAATAACTTGTTTATCTCATTGGAAATATCTTACTTATAAGAGATGCTCTAATCTAATTTTTGTACCAAATAATATTTAAAAAATCTAGGAATGTTTTGAAAGTTTATAGATATATGGTTAGCACAAGAGTTAAAAGTTGTTTTCAATTTTTAAATTCTATTTATTTATAACTTAATTGAGTAGTTTTTGAGAGAAAAGTCTATAATTTTACTATTAGTTAATCGCAATAACTTGTTGTACTCAATAAAGCTTATAATAAACTTTTATCAATCAATTATGACAATTTTCTTTTAAGAGCTTTTCAATCTAAAATTCAACATAAAACATATCTAAAATTCAATAAAGAGTACTTAAAAGCTAAATGGCCCAAACATATCCTAAAAGCTAACAATCACTTAACATCTATAAAAGTACTTTTAAGCTAGATATGTCAAGTATACACTTAGGGTATGTTTGGGAGTTTGAGTGGAAGGGAAGGGAAAGACTTTGAAGCTAAGTTGTTGAAGGGGAAAGGAAGAGGTTTATAAGTAAAGTAGTAAACTCTTATTCTTATTTGGCACTACCAATTTGAAAAAAAAAAAAAGAGTCTTAAAAGAAATTATAATTAAAATTTCTTTTGAGATATGACAAATTCAAATACTTGATTTAATATTGATTTTAATTGAGCTTTAATCATCATTTATTAGTTATGCATCAAAATTATCATTTTGGGGGAACTTAAAAATTGAGCATTTGAGGGGTTTGGGGGGTCACAAAAACCTTTCAAAATCATTCCTCCACATTTTTTTTAACTCTCAAATATAAATAGGAGGGTTATCAAGCGGTCCCAACAAACTTTCAATGACATCATATAATAGTCATTTGTGTTTTTGCATTGTCTTTTGACTTGAACTCTTCAATTTTTTCTCGGAACTATCCCCCTATTGTGAATAACTTATTGCTAAGATCTCATCATTTTCCTCATCATCGTATTTTACAAGTAGAGATCGGTGAGATATTACGTATCGGGTCTTCAATAGTTTTATTGTCATATCTGAGAAGGATCACATAGAAAAAGCTTGGTGGATCTTCAAATGTGATGACAAAGTTAACTTGTTAGATTTCGTACCCTCCTCAATTGCTTGGTATGATCATATATCTATGTCAAGTCTTGGTGCAACATGGTTAAGCGTAAAGTGTAAGTGTACGAGTACATTAAAAGGTGCACTATGAAGAAACATCTATATGTATTATAGTTCAATGAAGAATAAAACTAGACATGTGTTATGTCAAAAGGAAATAACGATGATGTATGAAGGATCGTAAGCAATGAATATGAAAAAGGCTTTATTCGATGATGGTTCTCCACTTCTCCCAAGTGGGTTTACAATGATTTATATACATGCAGAGGCTTAAGAGCCGTACAAGGAAAAACTATCACAAAGGAAAGAATAAAATATCTTCCTAATAATTAGCCTATACAATATTCTTTACAAAGTTATTTCATGCAAAAATGGAAAAGAAATATTTTGGGAATATACGGCTATAACGGCTCCAACATATATGTTACATAAAAGGTAAGATTGGTACGACCATTCTATAAAATGTTAGCTTATTAGGATTGAATTTCATATACGATAGTATTATTTAACTAAATATATATGTGGTTAAATTAATTAACCACTTTCTCAAGTCATACTATTATGCAAGAGCATCTCCAATGCTATAATGTTCATGGTGCACATGTGGCATGAGTGATAGCCACATAATTATTAGCAAATAAATTATTTCTCTCCTTATTTGAATGATTTTATACAATTTTGGTAAGTTTTTCCCTGCAATGTCAACAACAATGTCAACATTAGACGGTCTCCTTGACATTGTGGAGAAAAACTTAACAAAACTGTATAAAATCATTCAAACAAGGAGATAAATAATTTATTTACTAATATTTATGTGGTCATCTTTCATGCCACGTGTGCACCGTACACATTGTACCATTGAATACAAATACATGAATAGATGGAATATGATTACATACCTAAATGCGGACATATTCTCCTCTAAGGTAATCTAATTGGTATCATCAAAGGTTAAAGACACTACAACATAATCAAGTTATAGTAGACCAACAGAACTTTTCAACCATTTTTTTCTGTTGGAAACTTTCCAATGGGTTTCCAACGAAGTTCCAACTTCACCGTTGGAAATCCGCTGCAATTTCGTTCGAAAATTTTAACTTTGTGTACGGATAACACTGGTTGGAAATCCGTTGGAAGGTCATTCGAATTCTGTTGCAAAGCCGTTGGGGGGTCGTTGGAACTCCGTTGGAAACTTTCACTTGTAGTTTCCGTCGGAAATCCGTTGGAATGCAGTCGCTTTTTTCCCATCTTTACTTTTTAGGTTTCCATCGGAGATGTGGAAATTTTATTACTACTCCTTCCGCTACTCCCTCTCTATGAAGTGAGTCAAAGCCTCAAATCTCACGAATCAAACCTTAAGGATGAAAACCTCACTGCAAGAATTGACTACCTGCTATTCCTTGTGCGTCACGCCCCTTCTCAAGCAACTAGTGGCCCTCGCTGACTAGCTAAGAAATCACACATTCATCTCTCGGAGATTGCTACATCTTCTCCTTTAGAAGCAATGAACTTCAAGTTGATATTTATTATAAAAAAATCATCTTTTTTTATACGAGCTTTAACACCCCCTTTTAAGAGATGCTTCACATGCTCATAAAAAGTAAAAACTGATTTGGCCTTATACATCGGTAATAAGAAGCTAGTTTTTCATTTTTGCATTTTATATTTTTATTATGTGTGCATAATTTTTCTGTTTTATTATTTATAATTCAAGTATGACTGTTTTTCGACAGTTGAACAACACTTATATATATACTCAAGTTGAAGAATCTGATATCAAGAGTGCATTTTACACAAGGGCTCACATCGACGGGAAGGTTTGGCACCTCGATGTCGGCTCTTCGCCACCTGGGGCTGTGTTCATCATGGTTGAAGGATGTTCTTCATCAACCTCAGCTCGAACAGATAAAAAACTAGACGAATACCCGTGCGATGCACGGGGTGTATCTAGAATAGTATAACAACTTGTTTAATTATGTTTTATTACGATGGTACGTAATGTGTACTTTTGTCAACTATAAAAAGACCTTAAATTTTATATGTTGTAGCTTTGTTTATATTATTATAGATGTAAGAAAATGAAAATTTGAATGGTATAAAAAATTGCAAGTAAAATAAAATAAATGATATGGTATCACTATATGTTTTACGCGGCAATGAAATATATGATAGTATATTTAATAGTGGGTTTTATAAAGCTACAATTTAGAAGAATCATATCACGTTATTATTAGTGTTATTGATAGATAGAACGACCCTCTTCAACCCACTTCTTGATGGAGCGACTCTCATTTTGATGGTACTTTACTATTCCAGATTCAATAATCGTCTTTGTTTTATTTATAAAATTAGGGATCAATGACATTGTAATAAGTTTCCGGGGCAATCAATTCGATTGAAAATGTAATATGATCTTAAAAATCAAATACTCCTTTCGTCTCATTGGACTTTGCCAACTTTTCTTTTTGTTTTTCCCAAAAAAAAAAACATTGTCATACACTATGCTTTTAAAGTAATGAATTTGTGGTCTTCTTCATTATCTCTCATCTACAAAACCTCAAACACACTGTTATTACTATTATAATTTCACAGCTAACATAACTTGGCAAAGTTGAGTAAGACGCATGGAGAATTTAATACCAAGTTCATAAATAAGTATGTGCATCTAATTAAAACATCATATCATTAGACCATTTAAGTAAAAGTTTTAAGAGTCAAGAATCCTTATTTTTGTGGCAATATCAGCTATGCTAGAGAGAATATGATTTTCATTCCTAATCACCAAACTCCGCTTTAGTGTGGGGATTTGTTTCATGTCACTCATAACTAATAAAGTGTAATGTCCAATATATTAGATACTACTTCCAACTCAACTTGTTAGTGATACAACTTTTTCATTTTCTATTTTATTTGTTCTATCCGCCATAGTGTTAATGTTGTATAGTCCTTAGATATTATTATTGTGCTTTATTTTTCTTTTTTATTTTCTATTTTTCTGTTATTTTAAAGAAAACCTTTGAGCTAAATAAATTTCAAAACATATTATTTCTACGTAGCCTTTGAAAGCCTTTGCTAACTTTAAATGATCAAGAAAAAATTACTAAAAAATATTAATATTTTTTGTGAATGATAAAAAAACGAAATTGAGTTTTTAACAAAAAGTAAAATTAATTTATTGACATTTCAATTGCATGTAACCTAGAGACTAAAAGACCCGATTTTTTTATTTACAAAATTGGAAATTAATGACATTAAATGTAATTGATTTGATTTGATTGACATTAAATGTAATACGTAGTATAATCTTATAAAATGAAATATTCCCTTCGTTTCACATGACTTTGTCAACTTTCCTTTTTGGGTTTTTCTAAAAACCTTTGTCATGCACTTTCCTTTTACAGTAATGAATTTATGGTCTTGTTCATTTATCTATCCTCTGCACAAACCTCAAACACATCGTTTTTACTATTCCGATTTCACAGTTAACATCAACTTGGCAAAGTTGGGTGAGACGGAGGGAGTATTTAGAGGCCGTTTGGCAACACTATTTTTCGGCTTATCAGGCTTATTAACCAACCTTTTCACCAAACACGTAACTTTTGCTTTCGCACGCTGAATTGTGTAATAAGCAGATGATGTGAGGTTGGAGTTACTTTTCTGACTATATTGGCTGAAATTACTGTAGATGACCATTTTAGCTATTTTTACATATAATTGTTTCTTTATTTTATTAATAAAATATATTTTAATAATTTTTTTCTTAAATCAACAGAATCAGCCACTTCAGCCAAAAAAACATCATAAATTTCAGTAGAATCAGCCAAATCAGCAGATTTTCATGTTATCAAATGGGCTATTAATATCAAGTTCATACATGTAATCAAGAAAAAATTATTTAATTTTTTTTTGCAATAGGTAAAAAATTGTGTTTTTAAGAAACAGTAAAATTTATTTCTTGACATTTCAATCTCATGTAACCTAAAGACCCGATTGGTAACACAAAGTTGACTGAATCCACTGAAATTAGTGAAATACTGGTTGAAACAGTTGAATCGGCTATTTTTTTTGGAAAAATAAAGAAAACATAATATGGAAGCATAGCTAAAATAACGATATTCACCAAATTTAGTCAAAAACGTAACTTCAATACTATCAATTCAGACACGAAATTAACTTCGATATTACTTATTGTGCTGTTAAATAATAATTAAGCGAGTGGAAACCAATGTTATGTATTTTGTGCATAAAAAAATGACTAATAATTTTGTTCATAAGTACTCCATTTTAAATTTATTATCTTAATTATATTAGGTACCTTCTAAAAGTTAGGTGAATTTACAAAAAGAGGTAAACAGAGGATTTTTAAAATTTACATGCTAATTCACAGTACTCCCTTCGTCCCTTTTTAGTTCGCCAAACATAAATTTTCAAGTCAAAATTGTTCAACTTTGACTGATTATATATTTATACACGGTAATATTGATAATAAGAAAGTTATATGAAAATATTCTTTGTTGAAAATACTATCATAAAATTATAAATTTATTAACTTTTACATAAATATATTAGTTAATATAATGGATCCAAGTTTATCATCTTTGACTGGAAAAGTCAAAGTTGGCAAACTAAAAAAGGGACGGATGTAGTATAATACACCCAAAGGTTTTTACTGCGTATGTAATATGAAAAGGCATAGTTCAAGATTCAGGGAGTGTTTGCAATTGCTTCAACTTTAAAAAAGTGATTTTTTAAAGTGATTTCGGGAAAAGTGATTAATAGTAAATGTTGGTAGTGTTTGAGAAAAAAGTGATTCTGAAAAAGTAAAAGTTGATAATGTTTGGTAAAATAATTACTTTTTGTGTAATAGAAAAAGTGAAAAGCAGTTTAAAGCAACCTTCCACCTGCTTCCAGCTTTTAGCTTTTAAGTGATTAATTTAAGCAGAAGCTGTCATTTGAAAACACTATTTTTAACTTTTTTTAAGCCAAAAGCTGAAAAGCGCTTTTTTAAGCAAAGGCAAACACTGCTTCACCCCTCTAGCCTTTTTTTCCCTTTTGTATTGTGTAGACTGTAGACCACAATGAAGTCCATATATACGGAGTATTGTTTTCCGATTAATTCATATGTATTGAAGAATTACCAAATTTATTTTGTATTGTTATTATGGTAGTATTCCATATGTATTAATTACAAAAATATGTGATACCCGTACACTATTTTGATAGTATTCCTACGGTACATTTATTACATTTAATTACCAAATTTAGTTGTTTCATTAATTTCCTATTATGCCCTTATTTTGGGCGGGATTTTTCCCTCCAATAGTTGTGCTAAGACTGTTACTTTATATTATATAAAGATAGCATTGAAGAATTGTATTCTAATATTTTGTTGTGAACCACCAGTTGATATATTTTATGTGTGTTGCAATGAACGATTTACTCTAGTTTGTATGTTAAAGTTCGGGTTTTATGCATTCATAAATTCAGATATTGTGTTTACATGTTTGGAGTCATTTCTGGTGTGAAATCTATTGTTTGCAATTTATGTGTTGGGTTCCAAAACCATCGTTATACGCTAAAAACAAATCGAAGTCGATTTAATAGCCAGATTTTTAATATTTTTTCTACTTTTTCCGACAAAATGATCTGTTGAAAATCCGTTGGTAGGTATAAAAATACGTGTAGTTGGTTTCCAACGAAAGTTTTTCGCTGGAAATCTGTTGCAAATTTCCAACGACATTGTCCGTCGGAAAACCGTTGGAACTTCAATCATTCCGTCGGAAAGGATCGTCACAAAAGTTTCCAACCACTGTATACCGGTGGACTGTTTTCATTGGAAATCCGTTGGAACGATGTTTTTCCAATGATTTTGTAATTAAATCTGTTGGAAATTTCATTGGTAATGGAGTGTTTTTTTGTAGTGAGTGAAGGTTTAAAGATTTGGAAGAGGACTAGTAAATGTTCTTGATGAATTGGGAAAAACTACAACTACATTAAGACGAATTGAATCAAAAGATGTGGAAAAATGTGAAGCTCGATCGTATGAAAAACATATTTTTACAAAGAACATCGAAGAATAATTGAGAAGGCTATTGAAATTCGGTAGCAATATGGTGCAATGATTGACATCATAAAACTCAAATGAGGAGAAATAAAGTAACTCAACAGAGAGCCATGGATAATGAGTGTGACTAATTGAAGTTGTTTGCCAATAATCATTACGAAGGCAAGGCGTCAGTACATGTGTCCAGCCTGCATCACACCCCTTCTGATGAAGCAATGTACGCCTACACACCCCACACCATGCATGTCAAGGCGTGCCAAACATTATCAACGACTATGGATTACTTACTAAAATACCACAAGATGATCGTACTTCAAGATGAAAAGTTAGGGTGAAGGCACACTAGCTATTACATATAATCAACAACCTAGTAAAGACACTTAGGGGACCTTCATAGTATATTTGATATTGGGACTTGAGATAGAGTTTTCTCCCATATGATTGCCCTAGTTATTAGGGACATAAAGAGACAATGATAATTGTCAAAATATTAACGGACTCCAACTTCGACAGTAAGCGAAATAGTTTATTTAGTCAGGTTACTTCTCTCAAGCACTGGGAAGTGTGGATTTTGACATCAACATAAAAACCCGAACCCAAACTCCCAAAGTGAAGAATGAATTGCATCCCCTTCTATCCTTTCGCCTCAAGTACACAGGATTGGGCCCTATGGGCCATAATTTCAAATGAACTATGGATAATCATTGACCAATCCACAAAAGCAAATTCTACATGGAGATCAAAACTCTATTCCCATTGACTTTGCCTGCCAAGGTCGAAGGCACGACGCCCGCGTGTTGAAGACGCTACACATTTATCATCATAATTCATACGGAGTAATTTCACTTTAAACATACGTATTAGTATAAAGAAGTCATTATCATTGCCCTTAGCTTATAGAGTAAATTGGCTAATACTATCCTCCTTCCGTTCTTTAATTCTTGCAACAGTTTAACTATCACGCTTGTCAATGCACAACTTTGACTGTAATTATATTTAATTATGTATTAATAAACATTATAAAAAGTTGATATTTTGGAAATTCACATTGATAGGAATTCAATAACATTTTATACGTAATAATTTGCTTATGTATATTAATAGAAATTTGTGACCAAAGTAAGGTCTATGCATATTGTAAAAATCACAATGTTGCAAGAATTAAAGAACGAAGAAAGTATTAATTATATTAGAATAATAAAAGCACGGTGGTGCACCAACACTCATTATCAACGAACATGAGCTCAAAGTAAATACGAGCGGATTTAAATTTGAGATATTGAGGGTCGCGGCCCACACAAAAGTAATAATAATATGTTTTGTCTATTAAAACTTTGTCAAATTTGAGTGTCACGAAAAATAATAATATAAAAGTTGTGTGCCCAAAATTTGTATGTAAGAGAAAAAAATATCAAGAATCACAAAATCTTTTATTAAAAAGGAAATTGTCAAATATTTTGAAACGGAGGAAGTAGTATATAAATAGAGGAAGCGGTTTAGCCCAGGTGCCCAACTGGTCGTTGACTCAGTCTCCCTTATGGGAGGTCTCGAGTTCGAAACTCAATGGAGTGAGTTTCAGCCCTGATTACTCAAGGCCCCTTAGTCCCCCAGACGACCCTGGAGTAAAAAATAAAAAAATAAAAAGTGCACTTCTATCCATTTTTCTAATTGCATTTCATTTATATCTATTTTCCATTTATAAATTTTCACCTATCCAATTATACCTTTTTTGGCAAAAAGTTTTAACTTTTTTATTTAAAAAAAATACTCCGTGCCACGTCGTCAAAACCCAACCCCTGAGATCGTCAATTGACGGCAGTCTGTCGAACTGAAGCACTTCAGCAGAAAAGCACGACTGAACGAGACGTGCGCAGCCGTTACCTTCCCACACAGCGCCAGCTGCGCCTCCGGCATCCGCGGCTCCGCCCTCCGTCCCTGCTTGCTCGGCTACTCGGCTGCTCGCTGAATCGCGGCCTGACTGCGTACGCTGGTTTCCGATTTGCAGGTATGTATTAGATTTTCAGCATTTGACTTTCACTTTTAATATAATTCATATAGTTAAGCTTTATTTTTTGTTTCCTATTCGGCTTTATTTTACTTTGTGTTTTATTTTTGTTTTAATTTAATTTCAGCTTTAGTTGAGCCTTTGAATGTATTCTAACTGGTATTTTAGATTTTTAGCCTTTTTTTATTGCTGGCTTGCTGCCCTTGTTCTTGTTGTTGTTGTCTTTCTTGCTTTAGCCAATATGACTATATACAAATGGACAATTACATTTGCCTATGTGAATTTTGTACTACGTATTAATCTGCCTATGTGAATTTTGCTTGTCATTTTCACATATTCTCATGAGCTGGTGTAGTACTAATTTATTAACTTTATTGTTTATGTGACTTTGATGAAAACTATTATTCCTATAAAACATTTATACGTAGTACTATTTATTTCTGTATTTCACTCCTATGTTGCAACTGATGTTACTTTATGTATTAGATCCACTGCTCCTTAGTTATGGTTGCAAACCCCCACTCTAGATAGAGGGCTGAATCTTGATAAAGATATGTCATTTATGCTCTTACGTGTAATTTATTTGCAACTTAAATGACCTTGGACCATTATGCAACTTAAATTCGGCTTGTTTTCTGGCTCTTGTGTTTTCTATATAGTGAGGTGATGTGTTTTAGTATGCACGAATAAGTTTGGGGAGAAGGCCAATTGAATAGAGACTGGACTTGTTGAATTGTTATCAAAATAGATTCCCCTTTCTTTTCATATTTTTACTCAATGATGCTTATTAAGTTAAGTTGAGGCACATACAATTTTCTTAATATCTTCATAAAGCAGAAAAATTCGTTTTTCTGTTTCTCAAATTTAGAGCCACCCTGAGCTCGACCTTAAGTGTTGGGTTATTGAGGTCGGTTTTTTCAAAATAAAAATGTATTTGGCTAAATAAAAATGTACTGCATTTAGTTTTTCCAGTTACTTATTTTGATTTTTTGACTGCTAAATGCTCAAATCCGTTTCTTCATGTCTGCCATTCCATTTTCACACATGGTCATGGACTCATGGTATAACTTTACAAGAAAAGAAGGTGCGTCATGGTAGCTATTCAGTCCAAGGCTATTCCAAAATAAGATTCTACAATGGTTGGAAGTATAAAGGATCATTCAAAACCTAAATATTTGATAATAATATCCACTCTTAAATGGAAACTTGTTTTCCTATGTTGCTTTGCTATCTTAAAAAGCAGATAGCTCACTTAAGGACAAATGCCATTTATTCATTTCTAAGAAGAGGGAACGAAACAATAAACAAAAGCAACAAAAAAGATGAGATATTGAATCTAAAACATTACCCCCTCTTTCTCGTTTTATGCGCCTTGTTTTGATTTGGTACAATTATTTATAAAGTGGTTGAAAAGTAAATTTATGGGGAAGTTTGAGTAGATAATGTGAAGTGATGTTAACCACACATTCCGTTCTAAAGAAGAAACAAGAAACTTATTTTGGGACAACAAGAAATGAAAGTAAGATACATAAAATGGAATGGATGTAGTAAATATAACCCCAATGACCTTTGACATCGGAACAATAGAGATATACGAGCAATAAAAGTGTTTATAAATTCCCCCAACATGGATGATTTACTCCTTCCATTCTTTTTAAATGCCTTTTTCCTTCATTTGTAATGGAGCCAAAGACTCACTATTTTTTCTTGGGAATATGATGGAATAAAGCAAAATGGCTCACTAAACTGTTTGCGCTTCTTTGTTATGAAGCAGCAGTCAGTCCATACAATTTTCGATGCGATTTTCACCATGGGTCATCCAGAAACAGTCTTTCTGTGCTTTAGTAAAGGGGTAAGATTGCGTACATCCAACCCCCCTTAGCCCACCGTAGGTCAGTAGGTGGGAGCCTTTGCGGCACTAGGTAATGATGATGATGATAAATTTTTTTATGTGCCCTGGTAGTTTTTCACGATACTTAAAGAGAAATTAGTTGGGGCAATATAAAATGTGTAGCTTAAATGAAAAATAGGAAATGAAATTTATTTACGAAGACGAAAGTAATGAAAAACTGGAAAGAGAAAGTAATTTGTAAAAAGTAAAAAAAGTAAGGGTAATAAAAGTGAGGGTATAGAGGTATTTTAATAGGAAAAAGTTACTAAAAAGAGAAAGATGAATAAATAAGTAAATAAAAACTTTCCAAAAAGGAATATATGTGACCAATAAAAAAGAATGGAGGAAGTATTGCATAGCACGTTTTGACAATTAAATTCCCAAATGTCAAAATGGTGTAAGACCCAACAATTATAAATCACGAATCACATTATATCTTTTTAAAATTTATGTGTTGTTTAACTAAATTAAAACTATGTAGTATTAACCCCATTTTTTTTAATATGATTTTATGTGTAAGGGGATTGCAGTATCACGTAACACTTGATATGATGTGGTGGATTGTTTTAGAGTTGAAGAAGCTAATGATGATTGTTTTAGAATATTTGCAATGTTTGATTTTATCTTTAATCATTATTACAATTCAAATTAATTTGTATATGTTAAATTTTTGGCCCACACCCATTTAAATGTCAGAGATGTGAATAGAGTTGTGATCAGGGTCCCAAACCAATCAGAGTCCTTCCTAGGCGTAGAAGAGGGGGCAAGCCAACTGCAAATCAGATTTTTGAGGAGCAGAGTTCTCCATCAATGGATTCTTTGAAGGTTTTATGCCTTAAACTCTATGTTCATAGGTCTGGAACCAGTTCGGATCTTATTCAAAACTAGTGGAACCGTTATAGAAACTTAACTAACGAAATCCATTCGGTTCCTATAAAAGCAATCAAGAACCGTTATGGAATCAAACCAATAATAAACGGTTCAATTCTTGATTTTATCAATTTCTTAAATATTTTTTTATCCAAGAATTAACACATAGTTATCTACCACCTAAAAACGTTGAAAACTCAAAATACAAGGATTAAAATTTTATCTGAAGCTCTAATCACTTCAAATATCAAAGTTTAAGCTAATTAAGTGAACACTTAATAGAATAAAAAAGTTTTAAATTTTTATTTAAAAATGAAATATAAAAAATAACTGTTATTTGGTAGCAATTAAGCTTGTTCATCATCATAGTAGAAAAATATGCCGTCTACTTCGATTCCTTCAGGAGTTAAAAAATACCCTGAATTGGCATGCATAGATATAAATGCATCATTACAGTCTTCATGCTAGTAACATACGTAGTAATTTATAATAAATCTAGTAAGTACAAATCATTTAGGTTGTTGTATATTTATTAAACCTCATGTACAATAATTTATTGATTATGTTTTCATTGGTTAAATTTGAATTGCTGGCTAAATATCAATGATTGTATTATACTTGTTGATGTTTTTTTGTGGTTAATATTGATGTTGTTATTGTTAATAATAATAATAATAAATTAATATTATTATTATTATTATTACTACTACTACTACTAATATTACTATTTTTATTTATTTTTAATATCAATTCCTTAGTGGTTCGCACATACTCCGTATTGTTTGAGGAACTAGGTACCGAACCGTTAACAACAAGTAGGAACTGGACCGTTTATAATTAATAACTCATTTGTAGGCACCAAACCGAGTTATAATGGTTCGGTTCCAACCGGTTTGCCAGTTCCCAGTTCTAATCCCACCCAGTGTGTTCTCCATCATAGGAATATTTGAGACCAAGATGAATTTTTATATACTAGTAGCAGTCTAGTAGATTTATTAAATACTATAGTTTTAAGCATAGCTGATTTGGTTGAGGAGATCACAATAATAGGAGTTTTGAAGAGCTAGTAGTCACTAGCCAGGTCCAGGTATATTCACCAGCTTGATCAAATTCCGGTTGAGATGCCTTTCTTCTGATGAATCAAAGTCCTCAAAGTTGATGGACCTGATTCCCATCTAGCTTTTTGTATTTATGTTACTACTTATAAATTGCAAATACTGTTTTGTTTTTCTAATGGAGGTACATCTTTGGTTTCAGTGATACTTAGTGGAAAGCTCAGAAGATATGAGGAAGAATAGATTGATTTCAGCTATTCAGAGAGCTCAATCAAAATATTCTGTCTATGTCAATCCAGTGATTTGGGCTGCCAATCCTTCTCAGCTGAATGGTTGTCCTTTCAGCAAGTATGGCGAAATTCCTAGCATTTCCGTTCAGATGAGATGGCAAATCGGCCACGGTCACTGTAACTTATCAAGCCAGCCCAATTATGGAATTAACAAAGACCGTTTGGTAGAAATCCTCTTAAGCCATAGGGATGACCCTGAATCCGCATTTGAGCAATTCAAAGTTGCTATGGAGCATTTGGATATTCAGAGGTGGGTCGGGGAGCCTTTCTGTGTTTTGCTTTACATTTTGGCAAGTTCCTCGAAGCACCAGAATATGGCTAGAAGTTTGATTTCAAAACGGGTGCTTGGAGATTCTAATCTGCCTTATTATGCTCTATTCGATAGTCTTGCTGGTTGTGCTAAAAGATTCAATTTTGAGTTAAGCCCATTGGTTTTTAATGGTGTGCTATATAGCTTTGTTAAAGCTGGTCGTGTCAGAGATGCTGTTGATTGCTTTAAAGCTGTGATGGGTCATGATATACTGATTCAGCCCTTCCTTGTAGGTAAAGTCTTAAAGACATTAGTCAAGAATAAAATGATCCTGGAAGCTAAAGATCTGTATAATGATGCAGCCTCTAGAGGGATCGCATATGGTAATTTTACTGTGCGTTTAATGATGTGTGTTTGTTTAAAAGAAGGGGATATGGAGCTGGCTGAGAGGTACTTTTTAGAGGCTAAGGCTAGTGGTGTGCCACTGAACGCCGCAACCTTCAGTGTTGCTGTACACACTACTTGTAAATTGGGAAAGGTGAATGCTGCAATTGCATTGCTGGATGAGATGAAGGAGAAGGGTTGGGTGCCTTCTGAGGGAACATATGTGAATGTAATTTCTGCTTGTGTGAAGCAAAGAAATATGTTTGATTATGCATTACGGCTTAAAGATGAGATGGTTAGGTATGGCCGATCTGAAGGATTGGTGGTTATGACGAGCCTAATGAAGGGATATTGTGTGCAGGGTGATGTAAGCAGTGCTTTGGGTTTGCTTGATGATCTTGTTAAAGATGGACTACGTCCAACCAAAGTCACCTATGCAGTTTTGATTGAGGGCTGCTGTAATAAGGAAGGGTATATTGATAAGGCACTAAAGTTATACACTCAAATGAAACTTGAAGGTATCAAGCCATCTGTGTACATTGAGAATTCTTTAATAAGAGGATTCCTTAAAGATAACTTATTGGGCAAAGCAACTAAGCAGTTTGAGCTAGCGGTTGTGGCTGATGTTGCCAATGTATTCACATACAATGTCATGTTGTCTTGGTATTGCAAAAAAGGTAAGACAAAAGAAGCAGAAAATATATGGGACACAATGGTGAATAAGCGAATTGTCCCCACTATTGTCTCATATAACAACATGATCCTTCTTAACTGCAGAACTGGAAATATAGACAAAGCATTAAGTTTACATTCTGAGTTGCTACATCAGAATATAAAATCTAATGTATTCACATATACCATTTTGATTAATGGGCATTTCTATAAAGGTGATGCTGATCTGGCACTAGAAACATTTGACAAAATGCTTACGTTAGGGATTGTTCCAACTGATTTCACATTCAACTCCATCATCAATGGTCTATCTAAAGTTGGGAGAGCATCTGAGGCAAAGACTATGCTTCAGATGTTCATAGAGAAGGGTCTATATCCAAGCTGTATGACTTACAACTTCATTATTAATGGTTTTCTTAAAGAAGGTTCTGTCAGTTCAGCTATATCTGCTTATACAGAGATGTGCGACCATGGGATTTCCCCAAATGTTGTCACTTATACATGTTTAATAAATGGATTGTGCCAAAACAATAACATCGATCTTGCTGCTAAACTGTTGAATGAAATGAAGGCCAAAGGTGTTAAATTGGATACTGTTACATATGGTGTCCTTATTGATGTCTTTTGTAAAAGAAGAGACATGAAAAATGCAATGGAACTCTTTGAAGAACTTCTTGGAGTTGGTCTATCACCCAACATCATTCTGTATAACAGCATGTTTAGTGGGTTCAGAAATGTTAACAATATGAGAGCTGCACTGATGTTGCATAAACAAATGATAAAGGAGAGAATCCCATGTGATTTGGAGACATACACTACCTTGATCGATGGGCTGCTCAAGGATGGGCAAATACTTCTTGCATCTAACCTTTACACAGAGATGCTCTCGAAGGGCATAACGCCTGATGACATTACATACACTGTACTGGTACAAGGTCTTTGCAATAAAAAGCAGGTGATGAATGCACAAAAGATATTGGAGGAAATGTATCAGAACAAGGTGACTCCTAATGTTCTTATTTACAACACTGTAATTGCTGGATACTTCAAGGAGGGAAATATCCAAGAAGCTTTTAGGTTGCATGACGAGATGCTTGATCGAGGTCTTGTACCCGATGACACAACTTACGATATTCTCGTCAGAGGAACAAGAGATGGCAGTTCTGTGATTGACACTTTATCTATCAACAACTCTGAAGGGTTATGAGCTTTGTGATCAATAATGGCAATTAGCAGGAGGTTGGAGATTCTTCATCATACCAGAGAAAACTGTAAACTCCATCTCCCCCCATTTTAATGGTTATTTTAAATAAATATTTTTTGTTGCAATCTCTAATGATAACTGCTAGCTACACATTCTTAAAACTTGTTAACTGTTCCACATAATAAAAATATTAAGGAGAGACATTGAGTTATGCTGGTAGAGTTGCTAATTTGAAATAGTATGCTTATGAATTAGTACACACAATATAAGAAAGCATTTCAGCAACCCCTTAACCGAATCATACAATCTGGTGCTGAGTTACAATGAGAAACCCACAAGTTTATACTTGTTTGGGATGATTCATAAGAATCGTTATTATATTATAGCATCAAGTGTTTTTTTAAATTCTATTTTAAATAAGCCTTTATTATTATGGATTTTTCATATTTGTGTGACTTTCCTGATTGGACTTAAAGAGAGTTCAAGTATCATATAATGATTGCAAATTGTCTGTGCACGATCTCAGTTATTTTTGCCAGTCCATAAAATGGGTTTATTAACATATCAGACTGTTAAATCCCCTCAAAAGCTGGTATCTTTGAAGTTTACCTTCGTAGTTACCTCCAGTAGTACGCAATATGGGGATATTATATCATTTTTTGTTGTAGTTTACTGTTTTAGTTAATACCTAGATGCGTAAAGAAGATTACTACATAGATGGAGCACGTACTAAGACACAAATGCTAATATATTTTCCTGTTTTTTTGCCTATTCTTGTTTTTTCTTTGAATAGGGAAGACTAAATGCATTCCTTACTGGAGAAAGAGGATTAGCGATAATTTGAGTAGTGAGGCATTCTGAAATTCATGTCATGGTTTGAATAATTATCTTTCTAGTTAAAGGCACAATTTCATACAAATTGTTTGCTTGCCTACTTCATTCCGGAATGCTCTTGACTTTATGATTTAGTTTTTGTGTGTGACAGTGTGAGCTCTTTTTCTCATGGGCCTCCAAAGATGAATTTATTCCAGCTCTCCAGTATTCTGGATCTCATATTTCTGATTCGAGCGTGATACATCTCAGGCAAGGTCTCTTTCTTCTCTTTAGATGGACCAAGAAATTAGCAAGGCATTCTTCTAAGAAACTCATTGGTTTGTAAAAAACCATTGATATTCTGGGTGAGATTCTGTTGAAGCAAAGGTAAGCCCATATTATCTAAGTTGCATGTTCGTCTAGCACTTTTATAACTTTTGACCAATGGTTATTACTCACCTTTCTTCTGGTTGCAGTTGATGGATTTTCGAGTTCATAAGGAATTTTCGGGGGTAAAATTATAAAAGTTCATTAAGATTTTTCTTTTGGGTGATTATAGAAATTCATTACAGCTTTTATTAATCACCTTTCTTCTGGTTGAAGCAGGAAAAGTCTTTTGGACATTTTGAAACTGGAGAGAAGAGGTTTTTGTGCACTATATATGTTTTCACTTCCATGCTTGTACCTGTTCAGTCGAGGGGTGTTGAAGCTCTTTATTCTTTCCAGGAGGTTGGGTTTGACTCAGCCATTGAGGTTGCTCACATATATAGGCGAATCTAATAAGTCGAATGCCAGATATTGCTTTGCCAGCCAGATCATTGCATCCTTGCATTCATCGGTAAATTTAATCGTGTTGATTCGCAGATGCTTAATTCCATTGCAGTAATTGCAGACGCAGCATATATTTAGTTCAACCTTATGAAACGATTGGAACGAGTCCCATCAGCAAATCCTTACTTATTCGCAGCATATATTTAGTTCAACCTTATGAAAAGATTGGAACGAGTCCCATCAGCAAATCCTTTCTTATTTATCATTCAAGGTCCTGGTTGCATTTTCCATTACCAAGGAAAAAGAGTCAAATAAAGTTCTACAATTGTAAATTCGTCATCTAAACCCATATATTAACAAAAGCATCACATAAACTTGTTTACCCTAAAAATGATCAAATCAACCAGTTCATCAGAAGTCGAATATATTTAGCCAGTCACTTTCTGTTTGTGATATTTTACACTTGCGTATTTTATTTTTTCTTTCTCCTTTTTGTTTCTTTATCTTCCTCGCATGTTCGCCCTGCTCCGCCCCTCTCCCGTTCATCTTCATCCTTGTTATTCTTTTCTTACTCTTCTTTCGCTCTTTTTTCTTTACTTTTTTCTACCTTGTGTTAAATTTATTTGAAGCAACTTAAACAGCAGCAGTGTTGTGGTTTTTGGAGATTGGTGGTAATGTATTTCTCCTGGTGAAATGTTTGCTGTAATTCAAGTTCATGTGGCTTCTCGAGCCATCCCTAGCAAAAGTTCTAGCACCATAAGGTCTTCCACCTTTGATGGCATGCTCTCCATTGCAAACATGCTCACGCCAAATGTGTATATCCAATTGGAACCAAGATAATGTGATGAACAAGCTATTTTATGGCTGTCAATGGGGTTGTCTCCTGTCACCAACTTGGGATCCAGTGCTTCGAAGTGCCAGCAGCCCAGCAGGCTTTTGATTTCTGCATATGTCCATAGAGGCATAGAGTTCTAGTTGCATAAAGAAATGCTTTGAATTGAGCTGCCATTATACCATAACCTTGTAGGGAAGCCAAAAACGATCCCATTGTATTCTCTGGCACTTGCTAAAGCTTGGCTTGAGCACCTTCTACAGATGAAGTCCTTCCTCTTGTGCTAGTTTCTCCACATGTTCGTATATGTAGTAATATACAATGTAAAATTTGGCCGCCATTATCAATCTGGTTTTGGACTGAGAAGGTTTGGTTGGAATATAACGCGTTGTTGACTCTCCTATGTATATATCAATTTTTATCAAATAAAAGAATTAATTAAGAGTGCTTAGTTGATGGAGGTCAAAGGTATGTAAAAAGCTCATATTAACAGTCATTCATACTTTGATAAACATAGGCGCAATAGAGAAAAGAGGGAAGGAAATCTATTCTAATATTCTAATATAAAAGCAAAAGATTTTTTATGAATAGGATTCCCTCCAAGAAATGTCAACATCATGGTTTAGTTCATTTTTTCATCAAAAATAATTGCTAAAACAATTTTTGTGTTAGGATTTTTGAAGGCGAGAATGTGATTTGGTGAAGTTGGTGAGGTCAAAGTTGTCCAGTTTTTATTGGCTAACCAAAAAGGTGAACAATTCACTAAAACACTGCATATGTTTCTATTGGTTGATGCGGGCAGTTACACTATATTCTATCAAAAAAGGTAGGTTTGTTTGCCTGGCTCAAATTGATTGTGGGTAGGATTTGGTTGAAATACAATTTTCCTATTGGTTAAATCAGATGAGAAAATCTTATTGAGTACGTGTAAATTGAAGGCAAAGATTTGGTGTTTTGAATGCTTGATTTCTATTGGTCAAGATGTGTGGTGGAATAGTAAACTCAGTTATTGTTTCAATTAATTGGCAATACTCAACTTCCTATTTAAATAGGAGGCGGATGCAGATCCATGGTCTCAGCAAAGCAGAAAGAAAGATGAAGGGAAGATGAGCACATAAATATGTTTTTTTTTTACATTTTTTACTGGATGGGGAGGGGGCTGGGTGAGCCTGGAGTAATTTAGGCTGAAATTCACTTCATTGAATTTCGAACCCGAGACCTCCCGTAAGGGAGTGTGAGTCGGCGATCCGTTGGGCTGGACCGCTTCCTCTGAGCACATAAATATGTACATGTATGTGTGTATTTGTGTGTGTGCATATATGTCCATACACATATATACCACGTACTACGTATAACACAATATATCATAGTAGTATTAAAAATCTATCGTATAGAGACCACTCTACTTCGGGCATTGATGTGTTAAATGAAGCTCATGGATTACTGCCAAACCAAATAAGTGAACACCAGGTAATTATGTAAACAATATCATTTCTGATGATTAAATTTTAATAAAATCATATAATTAAAGAGTATTCAAACTTCAAAGCAAAGTGGAAGAATTTGCACACATGCGAAAAAAATTGTATTGACACACAATCTCACCAATCGGTTTAAATCAATATTACATATGTATTACAAATAAAGTTTATATGGGCAGGGATTAGATTCCAAGAGTCAGCTGTGAGTTCTTATTCATTGGTAATATGAGCAGAGATTAAATTTATAAAAAAAAATTACTGTGAGGGAGAAAGTACACACATATATTACTACCTAGATATAACTTAAACACTCCAGTAAGATTGCATATGTTAAGTCAATCTCTTCTGGAAAAAATATCAACCAGAAGTTCAAGTAACCAATTTCAAATAGTTATGCACAGAATACTCTTTCCAGGCCATAAAAGATCTCCTTTCAGATTTGGACAAACGCCAATCTATGAGCAACCGTGTGTTCTATACGATTTCACTCAGAAATCACATGCACAAAAATATATTATCCAGGTCAGTGTTCCAAGTAATTAGAAATCAAACAACAGAGTTTGTCAGACTAAAATGTTAAAGTGCTTAAAAGATCATAACATTATTAACATACCTCATTTCGGATCTGGATGAATCGAAATAGGTTAACCATTTTCGCTTCTGCGACTTTGAAATTTATTAAACTGTGTAGTGAAATATTTCATATTATACTGTTTTTGGTCATCTCAGCCGATGCCATGCTTTTTATACAATTATGAGTTACGTAAAGGAATAAAATAGCTATGTGCTATACATGCTAAAAAGTTGGAAACAAATAATGGCTAATATTAATCTATACAACAGACTGCCTTTCTAAGCCCTACTCCTTCGGTGGATGAACTTGGACAGCCACGTGCGCACATACTTCAATATATATCCGAAGCATAGAAATAAATAATAGACATATTATCTCCAACACCCCCCCTCAAGATGGAGCATGGGGGTCAAGAATGCCCATCTTGACAAGTAGATAGGAAAATTGTTGTGCACCAAGAGCTTTAGTGAGCAAATCAGCCGGCTGTTCAGTGGTAGATTTATAAGCTGGAGAAATATTGCCAGACTGAATATGATCCCGAATAAAGTGACAATCAAGTTCAATATGCTTAGTCCGTTCATGATAGACCGGATTAGAAGCAATATGAAGAGCTGCTTTATTGTCACAAAATAATTGCACGGGAGAAGAATGCATGACTCCCAATGATTGAAGAAGATTTTTTAGCCAAATAAGTTCACACGTCAAAGTGGCCATAGAGCGGTATTCGGCTTCAGCCGATGACCGAGAAACAGTGGCCTGCTTCTTTGTCCTCCAAGAGATAGGAGAGTCTCCGAGAGAAATAAAATATCCAGTCACCGAACGACGCGTAAGGGGACAACTAGCCCAGTCGGAATCACAATAACCTGTTAAGGTAAGTGGTGAGCTAGATCGAAGCAATATCCCTTGCCCAGGATGTCCTTTGAGATATCGCAGGACTCGGACCACCGCCTCCCAATGAGCCATACGCGGGTTTTGCATAAACTGGGAAAGAATATGGACTGAGTAGCTAATATCGGGGCGAGTTAGCGTAAGATAAATGAGCTTCCCAACCAGCCGCCTATATCTGTCAGGATCATAATAATAAGGTCCGGTATCAGATTGTAACCCATGGTTTTGAACCATAGGAAATGCAACAGGTTTTGCTCCAGTTAAGCCAGTCTCAGTAAGAATATCGAGCACATATTTTCGCTGACATAAAAAAATACCAGTGGGATTACGGGCAACTTCAATGCCCAAAAAATACTTCATAAGGCCGAGATCTTTAACAGGAAAGGACCGAGCCAAATAGCTCTTAAATTCTATAATCATACCATGGTCATTTCCTGTAATCAAAAGGTCATCAACGTAGACCAACACACACAAAATATGACTATCTCGTCGAAGTGTAAATAAGGAATAATCCGCATGAGATTGGCAAAAACCATAGGCTCGAAGAAAAGACGTTAATTTAGAGAACCAACATCTCGGAGCCTGTCGGAGCCCATATAAAGACCGGAGTAAACGACACACCTTGCCTGGAGTAGACGAAGAATACCCAGGTGGTAAATGCATGTACACTTCTTCGTGAAGATCTCCATGTAAGAAAGCATTATCGACGTCCATTTGATGCAACTCCCAGTGCCGCGAAGAAGCCACGGCTAAAATGGTACGAACTGTCACCATTTTAGCAACGGGTGCAAAAGTTTCCGTATAATCAATGCCCTGCACCTGTCGGTTGCCGCACACCACGAGCCTTGCCTTGTATCGATCAATGGACCCGTCACATTTATACTTGATCTTGAACACCCATTTGCAATATATAGCCCTTTTTCCGGGAGGCAAAGCCTGAATCTCCCAGGTACCCGTACGCTCCAATGCGTCTATTTCCCTCTTCATGGCAGCTCTCCATTCTGGATGACGTACTGCTTCTTGAAAACTTGAAGGCTCTTTGTGTGCAGAAATTGCTGCAAGAAAGGCACGGTGCGACACAGAAAATCGATTATAATTTACATAATGAGATATGGAATACGGATTACCTGAATCAACCGACGAGGATGGGTGAGCAACGGAGAGAGAGTTTATTTTGACGGTGTTGAGTTGAACTTCGTAGTCCTGATGCCAAATCGGGGCTTTGCGTTGGCGAAGTCCACGTCCAGCAAGTAATTGCGTTGACCCGGTTGCGGTGGGTCCAATTTCCGTCGTGTCTGCCGTGCTATGGGTATGGTCAACAGTATTGTGATTGCTTGCATGTATTTCCTCCGGTGGCTGCATGTGTTCGTGAGGAGGATTTCTACTGCCAGCCTGGGAATGAATTTGCTGCCGCGTGGTAGTTGCTGCATGCATGGATGATGAATCATCCAATTGTGAGAAACGTAAATAATGCTCCAATTCCTTTGTAGCATTATCATTGTTCAATTCACTTGATTTACCCAACGTGGCAGTGTCAGTAACCTTATCTTCATTTGCAAATGGAAATTTAGATTCAATGAACCGTACGTCACGTGAGACAAAGTGACGACGATTATCAAGATCAAATACCTTCCAACCTTTCTGGGCATAAGCATACCCTAGGAAAACACATCTAACACCCCGAGGTGCAAATTTATCGCCGGACACAATTTTGTTGTGTGCGTAACATAAACATCCAAAAACACGAAGGTGATCATACAAAGGCGCCTTATTATATAACAATGCATATGGACTCTTATTGTCAATTACCGGAGAAGGCAGTCGGTTAATAAGGTACCCTGCGGTCAAAACGCATTCACCCCAAAACTCAATAGGTAGATTGGCATGAAAACGGAGTGTTCGTGCCACTTCTAATACATGTCGATGTTTACGCTCTACCCTACCATTTTGTTGAGGGGTATATACACACGATGTCTGAAAAATTATACCATGATCCAAATAATAATCTTTCAAACTGTGAAATTCCTTCCCGTTATCACTGCGAACCACCTTTACCATTTTATTAAATTGGCGGCTAGTCATGGCAAAAAATTGTTTTAGAATATTTTTAACCTCACTTTTTTCTTTCATCAAATGCACCCACACCGCTCTAGAGTAATCATCAACAATTGTCAAAAAATAACGTGCACCACAAGAAGCAGGTATACTGTACGGACCCCAAATATCACAATGAATTAATTCAAATGGTTGTACGGCACGTGCACTACTAATGGGGAAAATATCACGAGTTTGTTTACCCCGTAAACATGCATCACAAGTTTTATTCGGGAGACACTTAAACAAAGTCGTATTCAAACAATCAATCGAACGTAAAACTTTCACTGAAGGATGCCCCAACCGAGAGTGCCACAAATCACCTGAATCCGATGCCGCGAGAGTGTAGGCGTGTTCTTGATCAAGGCTCCGAAAATAATAAACTCCCCCTCGTCGTTCACCCACTCCAATCGGCATCTTCGTAGGTAGGTCCTGTATAACACATATGTCATTAGTAAAAAAAATATCACATTTTCCGTCATCTATAAGTCGTGCCACTGATATTAAATTGCATTGCAAACCATTCACCAATAAGACATTTTTCAATTCTACCCGTGTGCTCAACCATACATCTCCCATGGTTGTTGCATGGGAAATATCACCATTGGGCAATATTACTGGAACGGGTGCCACGTTCATCTTTGCCCTCAACAATTGTGAATTACCTGTCATGTGGTACGAGGCTCCAGAGTCCACGAGCCAAGCATATTTACTTTTCATACCTGCCAATTTCTCTTCTGAATCGGACGACGCCTTGCATTTTTCCATCAATTTCAAGAAGCCGCTCCACTGCTCGTCCGTGAATGCCGGTTTATGCATGGGTATTTCCCGTCCGTCCGAGCTTGACAAATAATAAAGGGAAGATGGGTCATTTGTTCGCCGTTGTCGTATTCCGTCACTACTGCCGCCTCCAGCTTCTCTGGTCATGTCGGTATTTGGGTTTCGTGAATGTATAGCCCAGGTTGTTACTGCTCTGATACCATATTAAACTGTGTAGTGAAATATTTCATATTATACTGTTTTTGGTCATCTCAGCCGATGCCATGCTTTTTATACAATTATGAGTTACGTAAAGGAATAAAATAGCTATGTGCTATACATGCTAAAAAGTTGGAAACAAATAATGGCTAATATTAATCTATACAACAGACTGCCTTTCTAAGCCCTACTCCTTCGGTGGATGAACTTGGACAGCCACGTGCGCACATACTTCAATATATATCCGAAGCATAGAAATAAATAATAGACATATTATCTCCAACAAAATTAGAATTAGGGTTGGTTTGCAACTTCTTTTAAAAAAACACTTCTCAGCTTCTGGCTTTAAAAAAGCACTTATTTTCCCAAACACTACAACTTTTATTTTTCTCGGGTTCTGCGTCAAAAGTGCTTTTACTTTTTCTATTACACAAAAAGCACTTATTTTACCAAACACTACCCACTTTTACTTTTCAAAATCACTTTTTTCTCAAACACTATTAACTTTTATTTAATCACTTCTCCCCATTTCATTTAAAAAATCATTTTTTTAAAAGCAGATGCTATTGCAAACAGACCCTTAGAATTAGAAATTCAGCTGCAAATTAGTTAATACTACATATTATATGTATATACGTAGTATATGTTTGTATGTGAATAAAAAAAAGGGAGAAGGAACATTAAACTCCACTCTAAAGATATTTGCTAATCAGTAAAAAAAATACAAAATAATTATAATCTAAAGATATTACATTGGCCCAGACATATACTATTGTGAATAAACAAATCTTATTGGTCCAAAAAGAGGTGCGCACAACAGAGCCATATTTTGTGTATTCCTATTGGTCCAAAATGGAAGTGACACTGTTCACACAAAATCTTGAATTGATTTGGATTGCTTTGTTTCTATTGGTTGGATTGGGCGGTGAGCAGAGTAAATGGATTCAGCGTATCTCAATCTCAGCATGTTTCATTTTATCGCTCAACTATAAATTCAGCACTCTCGCATGAGATTTCTCACATCCATTGGCTTCACGGTGGGATAAGGGATGAGAAGACGGCAACGATGTTCGAGGACCACTTCGGTGGGATAAACCGCGGTCAGTGGCGGACCCAGAAAATCAGAACCACGGGGTCCCTACCCTTTTGTATCGCTAATCTCTAATTATTATAAAACTAATAAAAAAAAAATTAAAGAAACATAACACTTCAAAGTTAACGTACACCATCAAAACATTAATATATTATAAAGCAAAAAATTACATATAAAAATCATTCAACAATTCTACAGATGTACCCTCTTATGCTTCATTTGTTGAAAATATTCTATAATAGAATCATCACTAATAGTAACAAAAACCTATCTTTTTTATTCCATGCTGAAAACCCAGTTCCCAAAAAATGATCACCACCAACTTACCACTCATTCTTAAACAAATAACATGGTAAACAAAATGCAGCATCTTTGGCAATACTGTATTCCAACCATTTATGCTCATCAAACCAACTTGAAACAAATCTATGTTTTTTTGCCTCCAATTACCTTAAAAGGGAAATCATGATCCCGGGGTTGAAACCGTCCTTTTTTAATGTAACTACGATGTACCTCGTCTTGAACATTAGGGTGAAAATCAGCAATCCTTTTTCTCAATCCAGGATCAGCTTCCAAAGATTCAAAATCCTCATGTTGTTCAGGTAGATTATAAGCCAAATTAGCTTCACTTTCAGCAATTACTTGATCCAATTCTTCATTTACTAATGGTGAATCGTTTGAATTAATACCTGAACTAGGTATGGCTAGGTATGGCGGTCCGCGGTTGAGCGTCGTGGTTGGAGTTCAGAGAGAGAGAATGTCGGTCTGGCTAGGTGTCGACGAAGAAAGGGTGGGTGGGTTTGAGAGAGTCATTTTCAGCGTTTCATTATAAACGCACTTAAATTGGGTTTACATGGATTATTGGGCTCCTTCCGCGGCCCGTTTAGTTGCTGAACACGGAGAATGCATGGGCTGCTCTGAATGGGCCGTTCAAATTGTTTTGTGTTTCTTCTGTTTTGATGAATGCCCAAATGGCCAAATCTCTGGATTTAAGTTATTCCTTTTGGGTTTTAAATTAACACTATAAGCTTTTATTTTATAAATTATATAGTTGTGCACAGTAAATTTAAATTACGTGTTCAAGTAGTTTGCTTTTAAATTACTTTGATGCATAGTGTCTATTACGGGTTCAAGTAATACTGCAACAGTGTGCCTTTGATGCACAATTGCACAGTGTCTATTTTATAATTTAAGAGCGACTTAACATACGTTTATGTATTAGCACCTCCCTGGTTTGCCTGTTTACCACAATTCATCTAAAATATGCAATTCATATATATTTATAGTCTTCCTATTACTTACTCATTATAAATAATTTGAGATTTTTCTAAAATATTACTAATAAAAATGTTATTGACAAAAATGTGACAATCATTTTTTGTAAGTATAATTGCATTCAAAGTTTACATCATAATCACTACATCATAATAACTTTAAACGCAATTGTAGTCTGTAAAAGTTACCAAATCACAATTTTACCACTTTTGTATGAGTAATATTAGTGATTATTTTGTAAATAATTTACCTCTGATTAATCATTAATATTTATACACATGTCAAAATGGAAAATTTCATTTATGTATGAATCTAAACGATTCAATTGAAATTACCTTTTATGCTTCGAATTCGAGTAAAATTTCACCAACCGTGCATCATGCGGGTGTTATACAAGAAATCTATTAAAAAAGAACTACTATATGTATATGTGTGTGTGTGTCTATCAGGACAAGGTGGGTTAGATTGACTGTGTTTTGAAAATAAATGTGCTTATATGATATTCATTCCTTTTTTCGTTGCCGCATTTTGGTTCGTTGTTGAAAAACTATTTACATGGTTTTCTCGAGTAAGCAACCGCTAAATGTAAAAAATGACATTGCACACAAACGATGACATGAGAATGAAATGTGAAACCAAGAATTTTTCGTATAAATAAGTTTTTCGTAAAGCCAAGCATGGAATGTAATTTGTTTTCAAATTATATTTGTATTGAGTGTTACTATTTTGTTAGACTATACACATTTGTGTGCTACTCCACAATCATTGATACTCCGTAAATCGTGTTGAATACATTTCATTTTACATCAAACTTGATTATTGTGTATGTTTTTTTTTCGAATTTGAGTAAAACTTCGCCCATTAAATTTCACCAACTGAGCATCGCACTGGAGTTGTACTTATTTTTGAATTAAGAACTACTATAGAATCTACCTATTGAATGTGTTTCGAAAGTTATTGTGCTTAAATGATAGCATTATTTTTCAAGTATCCGAAATTCATCTATATTTAATACCCAAAAAAAAAATCATTTAAAAGTACTTTAAGTGATGTGATTGCTTTAACTCTTGTTAAATGTGTGTAATTTTAAAATTGAACAACCGACTTGTGAAATCTGATCACTCAAGTACGCCTGACGAACACACACACTCGTACACTGACCGAGCACACACACTCGTGCCACCGGGTCACGTCATATGGGTGTGACGATTAATAAGCTCCAATATAAATGTTAATACCACACACTCTTGACTTCATACGAGTTCTTGCGTGCTCTTACCTCTTTCTAGTGCATCACACTCCGACCTCGGGGACGAGTCACCCGTTCAAAAGTTTTTACTTGCGGGTTTGAACTACTAACCTCGGGCGGCGAGTTAAACTCTTGTTAGGGGCCTAGAGCCATGCTCTTCCGAGCAATTTTGTCACTTAATTGACATTCACATTTTCCGAAAAGGTTGATATACTTTAGTTCTTTGGGGTTGGATTATCAGTTCGAGTGAAGAGTCGGACTCACTTACTCGCGGATTCAATATTTCTTTCGGAGGCTGAGTTGAGGCCTAACTTGGGAAATTGATGTCACTCTTTTCGAGTATTGAGTCCGACTCACTTACTCACTGAGCCGTGGTTCGACACAAGGCCAAATGCTCTATTCTACACTTGTTGCTTTTATGTGTAAGTACGACTGAACGAAGACGAGCCTGATGAGTCCGAGCCTGACGAGAAGAACGGTTCTAGCCATCCTCTTCGCAGATGGTGACCAATGCAATAAGACTGAGGATTTCACCTCTTGCTTCATCTTGGGGGCGTCAGGTGTACTCTTTTCCCTTCATTGTGATTTTTTTCCCATTGTATTTTTTCCTAATGAAGGTTTTTAATGAGGCATCTCCCCGACATGGACAAGGGCGGAGATCTTCCAGTCTCGGAGAAGAGCAACTGACTTGGACTACTCCCTCTTAGCCGAGCCTACTACTCGACTAAGGGAGTGACGGACTCATGATGGAGTAATGGGACTAGGCCCACAGCCTAATCGGCCCAAGCCCCGAACTTGGACCCGTGGATCCAAGTCCACAACCTGGAACCTGCCTAACACCCCATCCGGGAGCCTGTCAGTCCGGCTGTAACACTTGAGATTTAATATAAACGGATTAATAGTACTACTCATACCAACAGAGGTGTATCTCCTTTTAAGGGAGCTCATCACCCAAGAACTTCAAAGTTAAGCGTGCTTGCACGGGAGTAGTCTTGGGATGGGTGACCCCCTGGGAAGTTTCTCAGGGCGCGCATGAGTGAGGACAAAGTGCGCGGTAAAGGCTTGTGGTGGTTTGTGAGGACAAAACTATTGGTCCGGAGTAACTACCTCGGGTCCGGTGGGGCCGGGGTGTTACAGGTGGTATCAGAGCAACCCTGCGACAGTGTGCTAATCCGTTTGATATCGGGCGGGCACTTAGCGGGGCAAGATTCTGGGATGATTGAGATTGGTTTAAGGGCGCAATGAGGACGTTGCGATCCTAAGTGGGGTGATTGTAACACTTGAGATTTAATATAAACGGATTAATAGTACTACTCATACCAACAGAGGTGCATCTCCTTTTAAGGGAGCTCATCACCCAAAAACTTCAAAGTTAAGCGTGTTTGCACGGGAGTAGTCTTGGGATGGGTGACCTCCTGGGAAGTTTCTCAGGGTGCGCATGAATGAGGACAAAGTGCGCGGTAAAGGCTTGTGGTGGTTTGTGAGGACAGTACTATTGGTCCGGAGTAACTACCTCGGATCCGGTGGGGCCGGGGTGTTACACCGGCCGACCTGCCAGTTAGGAAAAGTAACAGTCAAACAATTAATGTGATGTTTAACTATGTATTCAATTCCATATTAATGTTATAATTCATTAGTCATTATTATGAATAACGGTTACGATTTGTATACGCCTATAAAAGACAAGTTGTAATTCAGTTTAGAAAAGCCTTTCCCGACTAGTAATACTCTTATTACTTTTTCCGGCGATCAATGAATAGATTAAGCTTTTTTGCTGGAATTATATTCCAACAGAAATGTATTTTAATTTTTTCATAGTAAATAGGCATATTCAATCTTTTTAGCCATAGTTTGTCCAATTTTAGTGAGAAGTTTAAGTAGGAGCACGGGTAGTATTGATTTCTTTGAGATAGTTTCCCAAATATGAGTAAAACATGGAAGAACCGTAAAAATAGAAGCATGTTTTTAGAATTTTCCAAAAATAGTATTTTTTAAGCTTGGACAAGAATACTCTTGAAGGGTTTGTGTCAGCCACCACACTATCGTCAGAGCTACCGCTTGATTTGCCATCGCTGTCGAAAATCTCCAGAGGGCATCCACCACAAGCCTAACGCCGCCGCCATCACCTCCGGACTGCCTCGCCATGAGCGCAATGACCCGCCACTAACGTATCGACCTGGTTATGCAAGGAAATTAGGGGGCAATAAATTATTTTAATTCAGATTAGGTGTATTAGGAGTCAACAATTAATGTGTTGAAAGAATGTGCACATGAGGTTTGGTAGGCCGAAGGAGAAAGATTCTTTTCAAATGAGGTGGATTTTGCGAGCTGGATTAGAGCCATCCTGGAAGGTTGTAATGTTGAAACATTACAATCTCGAAGGATGAAGACCACTGAATCGGGCGATATTGCATTGGACGGAGAGCACGTTGAAGAGCTAGATTGAGGCACAACAACCGAGAACAGGGCAACAACAACGCGTAGGAAGGGATATAGTTAAATGGAAATGACCGAGAAAGTTGGAGGCATTCGAGCGGGGGTGGTTAACTTGAAATGATCAATGTGAGTTTCTGAAGGCTCATAGTGAATCTCAGACCGTTGATTGGTCCCCATCGGAGACAGAAGCGATGGAAATCCGCGAAACAGTTCGGAGCGCAATCCAAGAAGGGTTGGGTGAAGTGAAAATTGAATCAATTGCTCTTATAGTTGTTCAAGGTATATCCAAATGCAATGATTGCTCCTATTTTATTGAGGATATTAGAGTACATATTGAAAAGAGAGTTATTATAGTATCTCGTTTTGTAAAAGATTTAATCGCGTAACTCATGTGATTGCAAAGGCAAACATCTCCACCTCAAATCATAATTGTTTTATTAGTCAATTCCATATTTTCTTGTAAATCGTGTCACTAACAATACATTATTAGTGGAATTTGTATTTGCACAAAAAGAAATATTTGATGTGAATTTCTATTTATTTAGAGAAAATTTGACTTGAATTTGTATTTATTTAGAGAAAATGAGTTTGAACAAAACATTTCAACTCAGTTGATTGTGAGGTTATCGTGATTAGTGAGAGGTCTCGAATTTGAAACACTCTAAGCACATAAGGGTTCAGAACTAAGAAGCTGCTCTCTTCACCTGATCTGAATGTTTCTGATCTGATCTGAATTTTTCTGATCTGATCTGATCTGATCTGAATCTTTCTGATCTGATGTGAATGTTTCTGATCTGATCTGAATCTTTCTGATCTGATCTGATTTGAATATTTCTATAATTATAATTATAATTATTATAAATATAATTTCAATTACAAATATAATTTAAATAAAATTATAATTATAATCATTATTATAAAAATACAATAATAATTAAACTTAAATTCAAAATTATAATAATTATACTTATTACACTAATTATAACTATAGATACAATTATAATTGTAATTATTTTTTTACAAATATTAATAATAGTAATATTAATAATTATAATTATAATTATAATTATAATTATAACTACTATTATATTATTATTATTATTAATATTATATTATTATTACATTATTATAATATTATATTATTATATTATTATATTAAAATAATAATATTAATATATTATTATTATTAATGATAATGAAATAATTATAATAATTATTATAATTAATATAATAATAAAAGTGATAAATTATGTTTGAACTTTTTTGATCTGATCTGATCTGAATGTTTCTGATCTGGTCTGATCTGATCTGAATCTTTCTGATCTGATCTGATCTGAATCTTTCTGATCTGATTTGAATTTTCCTGATCTGATCTGAATAAAATAAGAATAAGCAATAAGTAATACTTCCTCCGGTTTTTATTAAACTTCACACTTTGACTTCACACAAAATATGGAAAGAAATTTGACTTTACTATAGAGTACATTGTTGAGGCACTGTTTGACACTGTTTGGCACTGCTGAGACACTGTTTGTCACTGTTTTGATGTAGATTTCTTTGCCAAAAAAGGAAATAAGGAAGTGTGAAGTTTATTTTAGACCGTCCCAAAAAGGAAAGTGTGAATTTAATAAAAACTGGAGGAAGTAAGAATAGGACGAACAGTTTCAGCCACTGTTACCTATTTTTGTATGTGTCATCTATTGCGTAGAGAAAGAAAGAAAGAAAAAAAAAATTGGAACATTTGAGGAATCTACGGCCTGGTCTATTCCGGTTCAGCTCTTCCTGGAGTAACCTGTCGTCTGATGAATCAACGTCCAATGCACCTCATGTTTGTTACTCCGTACTAAATAAATACGTAGTAATTTGCAATTACGATTTTAATTTGTTTATGAAGGAGAAGCATCTTTAGTTTCAGTGATTTTTGGAGGGAATCTTAGCAGCTATGGGGACAACCGCATTGATTTCAGCTATGCGTAGAGCTCACGCAAAAAAAATCATCTACTTCAATCCATTGATTCGGTCTCAGCTAGACCATCTCCCTTCCAGCAAGGGTGGCGAAATCCCTAGCTTTTTTACTCAGAGGAGATCGCATATAGGACATGATCATCACTGTCATCCGCACCACGATCATCATGGAAATGAAGGAGAGAAGATTTTTCGTCTCGGCCTGGCCGCCGACGTCAGTTTGGCTGCTGGAAAAGCATTTACGGGGTACGTCTGTGGAAGCACCGCGATTATTGCCGACGCTGCTCATTCCATCTCCGATGTGGTGAGGTCTCCTACCTATATAAGTCATATGCAGCTGGCGTGATGGTTAGAATGTGTATCTTATGTTTCGGCTTTGTATGAGACTAATGGTGTTGCATTTTAGGTTCTGAGTGGTGTGGCGTTGCTGTCGTACAAAGCTGCAAAGGCTCCTAAGGACAACGAACACCCATATGGTCACTTTTGATCTGTATCTACTACGCCTTACTCAGATTGATATAGTGAATTCATCGTTTTCAGTTTAGCTCTTGTATCTCCTGGGAAAGCTATATTAAGCTTTGATGTGTAAGAGACCAACCAAATTGGTATAGGGCAATGGTGATTTGACTTGAGTTACAGATCATCATAAAGTATTTTTTTCAAAATTCTACAATTCACAAGCCACATTTCATCCTTTTTTCTTTCTGCTGGATTTTCAACCAGCTGATCGTATGATAGGAAAATGATGCTCGCCTGCTAATACTCGGTCTTCATGGTCATTAGATTTTTGGTGGAATTTTCAGGAAAATATTTTTTTTGTTTTTTGATATCTTTGTGTTTCAGGGCATGGTAAATTCGAGACTCTAGGTGCCCTTGGAATTTCAGGCATGCTGTTGGCAACTGGGGGAGGTATAGCATGGCATGCTTTGGATGTGTTAATGGTAGGCAGTAACTTATTATGTTGTTAATGTGTTTGATGTATTACATAGATTTCTTTAAAAACATTCACTACCATATTTGAAGCAGAGTTTAATTTAGATGCACCTCCAAAATTTCTGAGAAAAAAAATCCTTAATTAGGACTAAAAAGTAACCTATTTCCCTAAATGGGATCAACATTACGTTCTCCCAAAGAAGTGGGCTTGTTCGCTCCTTCAAAAAGTTTTTTTTTTGCGAGGTTAAAAAAGATTTATTGATTACTTTTATTCTCTTTTAGGATTTAATGACTAATTTTTTCAGAAGAATAAAATGATGATACTATTTGGAGGTGTTACTATATTTGGTCTTATACTTTTATATGGCCTATGTTTTTTGCATGTATTAGTGTGGTTATTTGAGCTTTTGGTTGAATCTTCGCATATTCTTCGGGTAGGGAATGTGGTCAGCAGTGCCTGAAGTTGTTAATGTGTCACTAGCTCATCACCATGATGGTCGAGTTGGACATCATCATGGAATTGATATGGATCATCCTGTTCTTGCTTTAAATATGACTATACTGTCTATCGCTGTCAAAGAAGGGTACGTTTCATTTCAATCATAAAACAAAAAAGGGGTTTAGCATGAGGACCAAATGCTAAATGGTCGGTGTTTCTTATATTTGTGTGCTTGTATTTTATCCGCAGAATAGATAAATTTAAAGATTCTCATAGAGCCATAGTGATGCCATTGCATCAACAGAACTATGAAATCTTTTCATGCTTGAAGTTGTAACTTGGAAAATGATTTACTTTTTTTTTATAGTAATTGGATAGGAACAGATATTGATTTTATTCTATTGTTTCTTTTACATGCATTTTGATGTTCTATCTCATATATATAGATTGTACTGGATAACAAAGAGAGCTGGAGAGAAGACAGGAAGCGGGCTGATGAAAGCTAATGCATGGCATCATCGTGCTGATTCTATTTCTTCACTAGTTGCTCTAATTGGAGTTGGTAATGACCTTAATCTTCATCCTGCTACCCATTTTGAACATTTATAATTACAGATTAGTGGGTTATCTGATTTTTCTTGTTCTACACACATACTGTAATGATAGCAAGAAAATGTAGTTGTGGACTTCAATTGTGGTTTAGATGATAACATTAGGAACAATATGATATTTTTATACATCAGAGAGGTTTAGGAACAATATGATGATAAAGTTTTATCAATTGACATCTGACATGTGATTCTAATTAATATTTTATTGGTTTTGTGGGAAAATAAATTTGGCTACTCAACTAAGTTTAACCGTTGAAGTTGTGGTTGAATCTGCTGGGCTATTGACAAATATATAATTTTTTTTAAACTATTGAAATAATTTCTAAAAGTGAATCTAGAATTGTCATATTCTGTAATTTTATCTAAAATCTTAAATCATTCACTTCTTTTTTCATTATCACTTATCAGCCGATTCAGCAAGCACAGAGAAATTATTTAGTCTTTGGTGAAAATGAAGGTTGATAAGATGAAATAAGAGTTTATGGGGTTTATTTGTGTGCCTTTCAACCATTTGTTATTTTTTCTCTTGTACACCATATGATGAACCTTTCGTTGTAAGTTGTAACTGACTTCATAAAATGCACATTGAACTATCGGTCTGAAATCATGAGGTGGATCTTTTCTTGGAGTGAGTTTCTTGGATCCTCTTGCTGGACTTGTTGTTGCTGGTATGATCCTAAAAGCAGGAATGGAAACTGGTCACCAGAGGTATAAATACATATACTATCGTATATATTACATGTGTGTGTACTCTGTTAACTTTTACTTCCTCCACTTTCCTTTTGTGGAAGTTTACTATTGCTTGTTTCATTTTCCGTTTTAGCAATTCTTTTTACTTTTTAATCTCTAAAAGAGATACATCTCTAATAGAGATAAATATCCTTAGTTTTTCATCTTCTCTCTCCAACATTTTATACTTTCACCTTTTCTTATGTTTTTCACTATTGTAAACAACTCTCTGCTCTTAATTTCCATGAAAACTCTATTGGAACAAGTAAAGTAAACAGATTGAGTATATGTGTGTGTACGTGCATTACAATTTCCCCTTCTTCTTGTAAAGAGATATTAAGTTATCATTTTTTTTGCTTTGCTTTGCTTAGACAGCTCATGCTTAATCACATCTCCATCTTGATCCAGAGCTTTTCTTGCATGTAATGTTGGGGTAATGGTCATATGTAAATATCTAATAATTGTTATCTTTGTTCATAGTGTCCTGGAATTAGTTGATGCTGCCATCCCTTCTCATGTTTTGGAGCCCTTCAGAAGCACAATACTGCAGGTCAATGGGGTTAAGGCACGTTATCTCTCCCCGAAAAACAATGGAAACTATTTTTCAATTTCTGATTTTGCAATTCCTTTTGGCTTCAACCTCCACATAGATTTGATTGGGCTATCTCATTGATGAGTTGTTTTAGCAAACTAAGCAGTTTTTGTGGGCTATACATAGAGCTAGATGAGATTTTTAGTGGCTCTGGGTAATAAAATAGTATATCTGGTTAATTGCATTCTAAAAATTTCAGACACGAGGCCATCCTGAAATTGATTCATTTGCCCCAATCTTCGTAAAGCGTAAGAGTGTGGAAGTCATGAAGAGATAATGCCTATAAAAACAAACTTATTTACTTAGTTATCTCATCATAATAATAGTGGATCAAAGTATCAAAGATAAGTGGAACACGGCAACTGACAGAATACCTTGATTACAATATCACTTTCATCCAAAATCTTGTTCAAGATCCAAGTTACTTCATATTTTCACTCAGTTCTCCAAAAGTCTCTAGTTTTACTCTTTTTTATTTTACATGTGCCATCCCCTTGTATCATGTAAGAAATGCCCTTTTCTTAAAGGTCTTTTCTGTTTTTGCATACGCAGGGATGCAATCACCTCAGAGGAAGGAGAGCAGGCTCATTTTTGTATCTTGATGTTAATGTTGAGGTTGGTGAATTCCACTGATTATTCTTCACAGAAATCTCTAAAATTACTTTATTCTACTTCATCTATGTGGCTAGTTGGCTACCATTGCTTAAAAACAAATACTACAGTTTAATACTAAAATATATGAACCAATTATGGGTCACATACCATTGCTTATCATGATTTTCATTCACAATATATCAAATAACATATTTGGCGGTGTTTCAAATTTTTGTTTTAGAAAATGTATCCTCACCTCTAGGAAAAAGTTAAGGTATATTTGTACCTAATTTTTGGAGGCAATATGTACTGGAAATCAAACCTTAAGAGTAAACTTTAGAAAGTGGAATGTCTTATTAAGCTAGCAAGTATATATTCTTTCCTCTTATGATGCAGGTGGATCCCTTTTGTAGTGTGAGTGCTGCACATGAAATTGGGGAACTTGTACGACATGAAATTCAGCGATCACACCCTCAAGTTGTTGAAGTCTTTGTACACATAGGTGGCAACAACAATCATCTCATTTGTTGTTCTTTCCTTCTCATTTTGCAGTCTTTAAGTAGCTTATTTAATATGCAGGTCCTTCAACTTCACATCTTCATCATCATCATCATAAGAACAAAGAGGAGACAGTGGAGTTCTACAACACCATGTCTTCTTTTGAGCAGCACCATACGGAGGAGCTTACAAGGACTATTTCAAATGTCTTGTCGTCCAAATTTTCAGAGGTGCACTGTATATTATCATCTTCTCCATACTGAGGAATTGCATATTTACAGCTTATTGTTTTCCGATCTTACCATGATATATACACGTAGTGGGTAAAATGCATAATGGTACCTTAATTACTTTCATTGTAGCAAAATAGTATTTCAAGTACATTTTAATTTTTAGCCGATGGTTCCATTTGAAATGGTGTTAAAATAGTCCAACACGGCCGACTGAATAATCAAATTGGACAATCATTTATGGAATATAAACATTGTAGTGTAAAAGTACGAGTTATGGGATTGAATGATATTTCATTTTTTTTTTATCTTTTTTAGAACTTCTGTTAAAATGAAAAGAAATCTTGAATTACAGAAAATAATGATGGAGAGGATTACACGACACGTGTTGGAAGGTAAGCAGACAATTCTTCAAGTCGAAGTCTCTATGCCTGAAGAACTCGTAATCAGGTACAGATGCAGTTTATTTTCTCTACGTAGTATTTTAATTTTAAACAATAGCTGCCGCTCATTTTTTCATTAAATACAGGGATGCTGTGAAACTTGCTAAAGAAGCAGAGGAAATGATCAGAGAGGGAGGAGCAGGTGCTAATGTTGGACATGTGTCCTTCCTGCTCCGTTTGGGCCATCCTATGCCCAACGTGTAGTGGATTGACACCACCCATGATAGCTTTGTGGTTTGTCCTAACCAAAATGGCCCAATAACTAGACTGTCAAATTTAACATGAAATAATTCTTTCAATAGAATTAAAATATAGACAAATGTACAATTAGAATCACTATTGTTTACACTCCTAATTGAAAAAGATTTGTACTTTCAACAGGATTATAAAATCATATCGAGAGTTTTATTTGTACCCAATTTATATTTTAGCCCTATTCAAAGCAATTTTTGTTTCAACATTAATTAACTTGGGGTCAATGGTTACCATGGAATATGCTTCTGTGCAGAGTCAAATGGAGCATAATGGTGTCAAGATCTATCGATCCTATCATAGTGGCAACAATTTTGTCTGTTTACACACTTTACACAAACAGGAAAATGACGAAATGTTAGGAGTTAAGCATCATATCATAAGAATTAATTTTCTCACAATAACGGTACTTTTCTTAAAAATTACATCATTCTCGGTCTCAAACTTGGGTGAGGACTGAGGTAGTATTAGTTAAACTTATACGGAGTATCTATTTTCTTGGATAGTTTTTCACGTCTATGTTGGGATCACTAATTATAAATCCATTAAAAATCTAGAACCATAATGAAATCAACTTAACTACACATTTAGGGTTAGTTTACAAACACTAAAAAAAGCGTTTCCCGACTTGACTTAAAAAATTTTAAAAAAAAAGTGTTTTTTAGAAGTGACACTTTAAGTAGAAGTGACAACTTCTACTTAAATTAACACTTAAAAGTTAAAAGCTAGAATCTGTTTTTTATTTTTTCTATTGCGCAAAAAACACTAATTTTATCAAACGCTATCAATTTTTTTCAAAATCACTTTTTTTTCAAACACTACTAACTTTTACTATTAATCATTTTTTCCCAAATCACTTAAAAAGGTTCAAAAGTGATTATGAGTATTGTTTGCAAACAAACCCTTATTGTACGGACTAATTTTCACTTCTGGAATGCAACCTTAGTCTTTAAACAAAATTTGTTTTGAAGCCGTTCAAATAATTGTTTTAATTAATATATATTCGAATTGATTCTTCAATTGCATAATCTCTTATACATGTTACTTCGCCATTTATAGTTTTATACTGTACAAAGAGCACATTATATGAAATATGAATACGTTAACCAGATTGTAAGCACATCTTGTGAAATCTTGTAATCCGATAATACGTGTATTGCACTATTGTGACAAATTGTTTATATAATTTATGATAATTTTGGTTTTCTACCTATCTACTATGGAGGCAGCCCCCCCCCCCCCCAAAAAAAATATCAACTCAACTCCCGTTTATATCTAACATTTTATAGAAAATTCCCCAAAATAAGATTTAAGTATAGGAAAAATCCTAAAATAGAATTAAGAATGGTTTCTTTCATATTAAAAGAAGAAAGAATGATAAAAATAATATTATGAGCTTTCCGATTGACAAAAGTGGGACTAGATTCCCGTGTGGACAAAAAAAGAGATGAAATAAAATTGGAAAGGCCAAAATGCCCTCCACATGACTACCCACCAAAGCCCTACACGCTACACCTAAATAATTCTGCGCTTCAATCCCGTCCAGGTACCTCTGCAGTCTGCACCGTCTTCCTCGCCGTTGGTATCTGCGCAATCAAAATTGACGAGATAGCTGCCGCCCTTGTTGATTTATTGCTGCCGATGGAAGAGTCGCCGACACCACCGCACCTCTCGCCGCCTCTGCACCGCCGTCGAACCTACTATTTCATCTGCACCTCAGATCCTCGCCGTCTTCTTCTTGTTATTCTATTTTCTTCTATTTTAAACATCCAATCGACGTCCTCTCCTCGTAGAACTAGGCGTGGACCCGGTTCGGGCCGCCCGGCCCGGGACCGGCCCGGCCCGTCACTGTGCGGGCCCGGAACCGGCCCGGTTCTCGGGTCCGGGTCCGGTTCGGGCAGAGACCCGGTCGGGTTAGCGGGACCGGGCTCGGGTCCTGGTTTTGGAGGCCCGGCCCGGCCGGGTCGGGCCCGGGCCCGGGCCTAACGGTCCACTTTTAAAAAAAAAAATTTTTTTTTTTTTTTGGATTGTTTTGGCTCAAACGGCTACCCCAAACGGCTATATAGCCGTTGGGTGTACCAGGGGGGGTCAGGGGGGTTTGGGTGGGGGGTGGGGTGGGGGTTGGGGTGGGGGGTGGGGGTTAAAAAAAAAACCTATAAATACTCCTAATTTTAAACATTTTTTCACACCTCTTCTCCAACTCTTCTAAATCCTACTCTCTACTCATCTCCATTCTCCAATTCTCCATATTCATCTTCTCTAATTCTCTTATTCTCCTTTATATTTTATTTTACTATTTAATACTTATACAATTATTATATCTACTTATATATTAATTATCTACTTATATATATTATTATCTACATATACTATATTGCTTATATTTCTTATCTACTTAATTTCTACTTATATCTCTTAATACATACATACATACTATATCTACTTAATATATACTTTATATAATAAAGTATTAAATATACTTTATAAACTATTATTATATACTTAATACATAATAATATCTACTTCTCTACTTATATTTTATATATACTTATTTTCCAATCTCCAATTCTCCATTATACTCTAATATTTAATTCTTATACAATTATTATATCCACTTAATACATACATTCTACATCTACTTAATATATATTTATATATTAAAGTATAAAATATAAGTGTATTACTCATCGTATAGTATAGTATACTTATATATTATATATTATAAACATTATATTATATATTACTTACTATAACTAGTATTATACTAGTTAATTAGTTAATTAGCATTCTTGTTACATTTTTCATTATACTAGTTAATTAGTTCATTACCATTATTGTAACATTTTTCATTATACTAGTTAATTACTTAATTAGCATTCTTGTTACATTTTTCATTATACTAATTAAAATACTTCACATTTTATTTAACTAGTTGTTAGTTTGTTACATTTGTCACTATATTAGTTAACTACTTAATTAGCATTGTTGTTACATTTTTACTTGTACTAGTTATTTACTTCAAAAGTTGCTATAATTTTAATTGTAGAGACACACATTAATTCTACTTTGCAAAAAATTAGTTTGAAGTATTAATTAAAATAGTTTTAATTAGTTGCATTAGTTTTGTATCCATTATTATATTTGTTGTGAATTAATATTTGTTACATTTTTTAGATGGAAGGTGGTAGATATTCGGTTGATTTGGGTAACCTCCAACGCAATCGAAGAAACGAGATTGGGAGGAAGAAATCCCGCAAAGGTAAAGAACTTGCCGGGTCTTCATCTCAAAGTCGAGATGATTTTGAAACGGGTTACCAAAGGCGAGATGGAGATGCGATGTCCGAAGAACAACTCCAACAAGAATTGGCCCGACATAATAACCGCTTTCTACAACAACAACAAATGCCGACGACCATTGACGAAGAGGAGCTTGAGGATGAAGATGCGGAGGAATTGGAACCGGAGACGGCCGAGGAGGAGGGTGCCGGCAGCCACGACGCCGACGCGCCTGCCTCATCCCAAACCGCCACCGGTAATAAAAAAAGTAAGTCTGAACTAATGAAAAATAATTTTGATAAATGGAAGGACCCACAAACCGGCTATTGGCACGCAACTTGCAAGTGGTGCAACAACAATTATAGTTTGGGAACCTCCGGCGGATACGGATCCGCCGCAAGGCATCTTAAGGCAAAGCACCCCGTGGAGTATGCAAAATTAGGCGGCGGAACGGGGAAGCAAACTCAAATATCGAGGTTTGCGAATTCTCAACCTTTTGGTAATTTCGCCTACAATGATGCACAAAATTTGACTGGTATGGCTAACTTAATTTGTGAAGAAAATTTGCCTTATTTGTTTTCTGAAAGTCTTGCTTTAAAAGATTATGCACAAGGTAGTTTAAATCCTCAATTTAGAAATTATAGTCGCAAAACTGTTAAGAAAGAAATAATAAGGCTTTATAATGCGGAAAAGGAAAGGTTACAAAATTTTTTTGCAAACTTTGATGGGCGTGTTACTATTTGTTCTGACATATGGGAGGATGATTTTCATCATTTATATTATTTGGGTCTGACTGCACATTATATTGATGAGGATTGGAATATGCATAAACGTGTTCTTGCTTTTCGTGAATTTAATGATCGTCACACCGCTGAACATATTTATATTTTGATTGAGCGTATTTTAATTGAGTATAATTTGATTGATAAGGTGTTTGCTATTGGTTTCGATAATGCTACTAATAATACTGCTGCTATACCTAGATTGCGTGAGTTGTGTGGTGCCAATTCTTTGATGGGTAGATTTTTTCATCAACGGTGTGCATGTCATGTTATAAATTTATGTGTGCAAGACGGTTTAAAAGCGTTAGGAGATTCCATGGAGGTAATAAAGGGGGGGGTTAGACGTATTTGGGGTAATGGTCAACTTAGATTAAAATGGCAAAGTTATTTGACTGAAAGAGGTGTGAGATATGTTGCTTTTCCTAAAGATTTGAGTATTCGTTGGAATAGTACTTATAAATTACTTAAAGTTGTTCTTAGATATAAAGAACATTTTCCTGCTTTTTTAAAAGAACATGATAACTATATTATAAACGCGGCTGAGATCGACACTTGCGAAAAAATTTGTAATGTTTTGATATATTTTTTTAATGCTACTGAAACTTTTAGTCATGTTTATAAACCTACCGCAAACCAATTTATTCCACAAGCTGTTAATCTCGCCGATGCTTTTAAAGAATTTCAAAATGCCGTTTTCGTTCATTATTTTTGTGATCATATGAAGGAAAAGTTTTTAAAATATTATGCGCATATTCCCCATATTTATGGTATTGCATTTATTCTCGATCCTCGTTATAGACTTGCTAATTTGGAAGATTGTTTCAACTTCTATTATCTTGCGTTTTTCGGTGAATTTCCAATGTATGAGGATAACCCCATAGATCCGAAAACGGAATACAACGAGGTTAGTACTTTATTTTATGCCTTATTTAATGAGTTTCGTGCACAATATAGCAACGCTCCCCCTCCCCCGTCACGAACATCTTCATCTAAAGGAAAATCGATTTTTAAATCTGCATTTGGCAATCTTATGAAAAAAAGTAAAACAACTCACGTCACTGAACAAAGCGCATTGAATGAGATTACTTTGTATTTAACATATGAAGTTGATTTTGAAGAAAATGATGACTTTGACGTTCTAGACTGGTGG